TTAACAGAGCAAACAGGCAAAACATAAACAAGTGGTGATGATGGGTTAAGAGCATATGAGATTTCCTTATACTATTTTTTTTTGCAACTTTTCTATAAGTTTGAAATTATATTACAAAAAAAATTGGCTGGGCCCAGTGGCTCACGTCCGTAATCCCAACACTTAGGGAGGCCGGGGCGGGTGGATCACCTGAGGTCAGGAGTTAGAGACCAGCATGGCCGACATGGTGAAACCCCATCTCTACTAAAAAATACAAAAAAATTAGCCAGGCATGGTGGCAGGTGCCTGTAATCCCAGCTATTCGGGAGGGAGGCAGGAGAACTGCTTGAACCTGGGAGGCAGAGGTTGCACTCCAGCCTGGACAATAAGGGCAAAACTCCATCTCAAAAAAAAAAGTTAAAAAAGTCAGGAAATAATCATTAATAACCACAGTAACAATGATGTGATAATGATAACAACTATGGCAATAATATCTAACATTAATGAACAGTAACTAGGTAGCTTATCTTCCCACTTCAGGAAGGAGGCCTCCAATAAAAAAAGACAGCAAGGCATCTACTCCCCAACGCCTGGGAGAAGCAGATCTTCAGGACTCTAAGTCCCTCTGTTTTGACTCTAGACTTGCCAGCGGCCTTCTGCTCATGTCATGGTTTTTGCAAAGAAACTTGACAGTTAACAATATTTAGTAAGAAAGAAAAATCACTGGACTGAGTAGGGTTCTAGTATGGCCAGCTCAGTTTTATCTGTGACATCTGGCAAGGTCAGTTTTCTAGTCCTGAGTTTCCAGATAAGACCTTTTCCTGAGATTTTCAAACTTTAACATGCCTCTGAATCGCCTTGGGTTCATGTTGAAATGCAGATTTCTGCATCCTATCTGCAAACAAATCTAAATGAGAATGTCTTGGGTAGGGCTCAAGAATGAGCATTTCTACCTGGGTGATTCCAATGTTGCTGCTTTGTGGACCACAGTTTGACTAGTGTTGCACTGTTCTCAGTCCCCCCAAAAACAGCTCCTACTAAACAGAAATATACACAAGAAAAACTTGACAAAAAGGCACTAAAACAATAGCTGTTATTCTTATATCCTAAGGTATAAAGGTAAATGGGGAATTTACATTTTTTAAAATATATTTCTAGACTTTCCATGATTATGTGTTACCTCTGTACTGTTTGAAACAAAATTATTAACGAGAAAACTGTTTTAAAACTCTTTTGTTCTTTTGAGTCAGTCTTGCTCAGTTGCCCAGGTTGGAGTACAGTGGTGTGATTTCAGCTAACTGCAACCTCGCATCCTGGGTTCAAGCGATTCTCCTGCCTCAGCCTCCCAAGTATCTGGAATTACAGCTGTTCACCACCACGCCTGGGTAATTTTTGTATGTTTAGTAGAGATGGAATTTTGTCATGTTGGCCAGGCAGGTCTCGAACTCCTGGCCTCAAGGATATGACCGTCTCAGCCTCCCAAAGTGCTGGGATTACAGGCGTTGAGCCACCGCACCAGGTCACTATTTTTTTAAAACTCATAAAATAGACCACACCTTGAGCAAAGTTCCCACAGTGAAGTCTCAACCTATCTTCAAATGATACTAGTCAGTTTCGTATGGCTCATGGAGAACATGCGAAAGAAAACTCAGGTCTACACTCAGACTGCCTAGGTTTCAACACTAGCTCTGCCTCCTACTAGCTGGGTGGCTATGAGAAAACAAGTTATGTTCTTCCTTTTTTTTTTTTTTTTTTAAGGCGGTGTTTCACCATGTTGGTCAAGCTGTCTTGAACTCCGGACCTCAGGTGATCCGCCCACCTTGGCCACCAAAGTGCTTGGATTACAGGCGTGAGCCGCCGCCATGCCCGGCCACAAGTTACGTATGTCTCAGTCTCCTCGGAAAAAAAGAGTATCACTTCAGAGTCACTGTCGGTGGAAAGGTGTTCATTTGTATAATTATAATCACTTCCCATGCCTAAATACACGACCTACACATTCTCTGATTTATGTGAATAAAACAAGAAGAATATTAACAAGTCTTACTCACACGAGGTTCTGCTGCCTCCTCTGTGCAGTGCTTTTTGAGAAGTCAGGGCTGGGGAAAAAAAAGAGGCTGTGAAATAACCAGGATTGTGTCTCCAACCCTGATATATCAGCGGCATCCCCCAGAACCAGTGAGAAACAACCATCTCCTTCCTAAAAAGAGGTCAAGGACATTCTAGCTTCATGGGCTCACAGAAGTTCGCTACATAATTGGTTTCTAGGGAAAATGTAGTATTGGTAATCCACGTACCAGGCAGTTTTAAACTTTTTATACTACCTTGCTTTTCCTCAAAATATTCTATTACTTTTATTTTCCTTCAGAACAGCAAGCAAAGGCTCGGGAATTAACTCGCTCAATGTGATACTGCATAAAGCGGTAGGGCTAGCTCATTAGGTGGAAGGGGAGTCACAATGCGGGAGCCAATAGCCCCAGAGACCTTCAAACCCGACGAAGCACCACCCCAACCGCCCCAAGCCAGTACGGCCCCAATGCAAACAAGCTCCGCCCAGGAAAACGCAAAAGAGCATCCTAGCCCCTCAAACCTCCGCTCTTAGCTGCTACTCCTTTTTTTTCTCCAAACAAAATACAGCTAGCTGTTGACCACAAGCGCATTTCGGGGAAGTTTGAATGGTTCTTGAGGAGCCGACCTAAACCACCAAAGCCAGGGGAAAAAAGATGGCTGCTACGTCGTCTTCCTGGGCGGAAGTGCCTCCGACTCCCAGGAGCACTAGGACTACATTTCCCAGAATTCCACAGCACTGCCTTCCCGGAGCAGGAAGTGCCTGCGACTACCTGGAGCGATTGAACCTACATTTCTCAGGATTCTGCAGAGGAAACATTGACAGCCTTACCGTAGCTGAACTATGTGTGACTACACGGAGCTCTGGACAGCATATCACAGAATGCTGGAGTTGGGGGAAAAGCAGAACAGTATCCCCCTCCTGGACTACACTTCCGGAATGTCCAAGGCTTCTGATGTGGAAGTGTCCAACTACCTTGAACTCCTGGTTTTCATTTCCCAGAATCCCTCACGTCTCTTTAGATATTATTATGGTCTCCTTGTTTATGGCCCCCGCCAAATTAATATGTTGAAAACCTAACTCCCAAGGTGATGGTATTAGGAAGTGGAACCTGTCGGAAGGGATCAGATCAAGAGGGCAATGCCCTCATGAGTAGGACTAATGCTCTCTAACAAGTGGCCTGAGGGAGTTTCTTTGCCTCTTTAGTATGTGAGCACACAGCCAGGACCACCCATGACTCAGAAAACGGGACCTCACCAGACACTGAATCTGCTGGCACCCGATCTTGGGCTTATGTGCCACCAATTCCACTCCTAAGTAAATACCCAAGATAACAAACATATCCATACAAAAACTTGTTCTAAAAAAGTTCATAGCAGCATTAGTCATATATATATATGACTATATATAATTATATATATATATATAATTTATTTATTTATTTATTTTATTTTGAGACTGAGTCTCACTCTGAAACGATGTCTTGCTTTGTCGTCCAGGCTGGAGTGCAGTGGCCTGATCTCAGCTGACTGCAACTTCCGCCTCCCAGGTTTAAACAATTCTCTGCCTCAGCCTCCCGAGTAACTGGAATTACAGGCACCTGCCACCACGCCTGGCTAATTTTTGTATTTTTAGTAGAGACAGGGTTTCATCATATTGGCCAGGGTAGTCTTGAACTCCTGACTCATGATTCACCCGCCTTAGGCTCCCAAAGTGCTGGGATTAACAGGTGTGAACCACTGTGCCCAGCTAAGCTATACCATACTTTTATCCCACACCCATTAAGTGAATACTAAAAACAACTTGTGGAAATTAGATAATTTCATCAAATTATTATTTGGGCAGGATTGACATTTATCATGCTTTTTCTTATTCTCTTAATACTTCTCTACCTGAGAAGTACTTAATACTCAGGTAGAGAAGTACTAATTAGAGAATGCTATAGTTATTAGAAGGCAGTCATTTCAAAGTCTGGATGGAAATGTGGAAAGTCAGAAATCAAATAAATTCAAGGAGGGGTGATAAAATTTTTGTCATTGGCAACTACTCCTGACACTTTAAAAGTGTTAGAGTAAACCCCTGCCTTAACATTGATGGATTAAAATTTCAATTGTGTAATATTCAGTAATCTCTTCTCAGGTTAATTTTTTTTTTTTGGTTCTGCACTGTCAGAAAAATCACAAAAGATACTTCAACTTGGCCGAGTGCAGTGGCTCATGCCTGTAATTCCAACACTTTCGGAGGCCAAGGCAGGTGGATTGCTTGAGCTCAAGAGTTCAAGACTAGCCTGAGCAACAAAACATACAAAAATTAGGTGGGTGTGGAGGCATGTGCCTGTAGTCCCAGCTACTCAGAAAGTGAGAGAGGAAGATGGATTGAGCCTGGGAGGACAAGGCAGCAGTGAGCCATGATTGCACCACTGCACTCCAGCCTTGGCGACAGAGCAAAATCCTGTCTCAAAAATAAAAATCAAGGTACTTCAACTTCCGTTTTATACAACCTTGGGAAACTAGACAGGCTCTCAAACAATAAGAACCAAATTTGAGAGGAGAGACTAGAGAGAGGACAGGGTCAACTGTAAAAGGGTAATACCGGCCGGGCGCGGTGGCTCAAGCCTGTAATCCCAGCACTTTGGGAGGCCGAGGCCGGTGGATCACGAGGTCAACAGATCGAGACCATCCTGGTCAACATGGTGAAACCCCGTCTCTACTAAAAATTACAAAAAATTAGCTGGGCACGGTGGCGCATGCCTGTAATCCCAGCTACTCAGGAGGCTGAGGCAGGAAAATTGCCTGAACCCAGGGGGCGGAGGTTGCGGTGAGCCGAGATCGCGCCATTGCACTCCAGCCTGGGTAACAAGAGCGAAACTCCGTCTCAAAAAAAAAAAACCAAATGGTAATACCGTATTAACATTGTAGAATGCAGTATCTAGTGGTTTTCCACATTTTAACAAATGTTCATTTCCCCCAAATAATTTTATTTCGCAGGCTTCTTCCTCTGGGTACAATTTTCAAATATTGTATATTTACTCCTTTTGATTCACTTAACAAACAAGTATTGAGCACACCAGAAGCACTAATCAATGTTAAGGTTATATAGATTCAGCCCCAAAGTTCCTGCCCCCGTGGAGCTTACAGTCTAATGGACATCAATTCTGGCACCTTCATTAGGATACTTTTCTAAAGCCCAGGTCAAACCCATTTTCTAAGTCCTGTTTCCTAGGTGACATCCCATAAATGTCAAAGTTTTAACAGAATTCTTTATTGTACCACTTAACAACGGTTCACAGCTGTGTGGTCACTGGACCACTGGGATATGTTGAGCTATTGCTTAAACACTGCCTTAAACAAAACAAATATTTTAAATAAGAGAATGCTACAGTAATTATAAGGCAATCATTTCAAAGTCTAGATAAAGGCCAAGTGCGGTGGCTCATGCCTGTAATCCCAGCACTTCGGGAGGCGGAGGCAGGTGGAACACATGAGGTCAGGAGTTCAAGACCAGTCTGGCCAACATGGTGAAACCTTGTCTCTACTAAAAATACAAAAATTATGCAGGTGTGGTGGCATGTGCCTATCTCTAATCCCAGCCACTCAGGAGGCTGAGGCAGGAGAATCACTGGAAGGAGGTGGAGGTTGCAGTGAGCTGAGATTGCACCACTGCATCCAGCATGAGCAAGAGAGTGAGACTGAGTTAAAAAAAAAAAAAAGTCTAGATGGAAATGTGGAGCGTTACAAATCACGTAAATTCAAGGAAGCTGATAAAGTTTTTCTCTCCTATGAAATCTGATTACAAGCATTCAGGTTGTACATTAGTTTTGTTTTAATCACCTTGTCAAACTTCCTTTCTCTGACAACTCTCTGATATTCTTACTACTGACATCATTTTCTTTTTTTTTTTTTTTTTTTTTTTTTTGAGGCAGAGTTTCGCTCTTGTTACCCAGGCTGGAGTGCAATGGCGCGATCTCAGCTCACCGCAACCTCCACCTCCTGGGTTGAGGCAATTCTCCTGCCTCAGCATCCTGAGTAGCTGGGATTACAGGCACGCGCCACCATGCCTAGCTAATTTTTTGTATTTTTAGTAGAGACAGGGTTTCACCATGTTGACCAGGATGGTCTCGATCTCTTGACCACATGAACCACCCCCGCCTTGGCCTCCTGAAGTGCTGGGATTACAGGCTTGAGCCACCGCGCCCGGCCTTACTGTCATCATTTTCATAGAATATACCAGCAGCATGAATTTTGTGATGACTTACAAGATTTGATCGCCAGCTAAAGCTCTTACCACATATTGCACATTTGTAAGGTTTCTCCCCAGTGTGAACTCGCCTATGATACTGTAGTTGTGAAGACCGACTGAAGACTTTACTACACACATCACATTTGTACGGTTTCTCTCCCGTGTGGACACTCTGATGAAGTTGGAGACTTGAGGCCTGACTGAAGTGCTTCCCACACTCCCCACATGTATATGGCTTTTCTCCAGTGTGCACCCTCTGATGCATGTCAAGGTTCAAGCTCCACTTGAAGCCCTTTCCACACTCCCCACATTTGTATGGCTTTTCTCCAGTGTGGACTTTTTGATGGGCTTGAAGGTGTGCACTCCGACTGAAGCTCTTCCCACACTCTTCACATTTGAATGGTTTTTCCCCACTGTGAACTCTCTGATGGGTCAGAAGATGTGAGGCCTGACTGAAGACCTTCCCACACTCCTCACAATTATATGGCTTCTCTCCAGTGTGGATCCTACAATGAATTTTAAGATCTGCTCTACGACTGAATCCCTTTCCGCACTCTTCACATTTGTATGGTTTCTCGCCGGTATGGATCAGCTGGTGAATCTGAAGTCGTGAGCTCTGATTGAAGCCCTGCCCACACTCCTCACACTTATAAGGTTTCTGTACACTATGTGCTTTCAGATGGATTTTAAGATATGAACTCTGACGGAAGGCTTTTCCACATACCTCACATTTATAGGGCTTCTCCCCTGTGTGGACCACCAGATGTACTTGATAATGAATTTTCATTCTGAAGCTCTTCTCACACTCATTGCATTTGTACGGCTTCTCTCCAGTGTGGACTCCCTGATGGGCCTGAAAACTTGAACTGTAAATGAAACCCTTACCACACACTTTACATACATATGGTTTCTCTCCAGTGTGGATTCTCCGATGGGCCTGAAATTGTGAAGGCTGAATAAAGCACTTACCACATTCTTCACACTTGTAAGGTTTCTCTCCTGTGTGGACCCTTTGATGGATACGAAGGTTTGAGCTACAAGTGAAACACTTACCACAGTCCTCACATTTGTATGGTTTCTCTCCTGTGTGGACCATGCAATGATTATTAAGTGCTGATCTACGACGGAAGTTCTTACCACATGTATCACATTTGAATGGTTTCTCCCCAGTATGGATTCGCTGATGTTCCTGAAGATGGGAAGCATGTATGAAGGCCCTCCCACATTCCTCACAATTGTAAGGTTTCTCTCCTGTGTGTAATTTGCAATGCACAGTAAGTGTTGATCTACGACTGAAGCCTTTCCCACATTCCACACATTTGAATGGTTTCTCTACAGTATGGACTCTCTGATGAGTTTGCAGATGTGAGCTTTGACTAAATTCCTTACCACACACATCACACTTATAGCGTTTCTCTCCCATGTGGACTCTCTGATGAATATGAAGTGCTGAGATGTAACAGAAGCTTTTTCCACACTCATCACATGTATGAGACTTCTCTCCTGGGTATAACTGTTGATGAAGGTCAAAGTTGCAGGCATCAGTGAAGGGCTTTTTGTCCTCATTAGATTGGTAAAGCTTCTGTTCCATGTGAGTTGTATATAGTCCTGCCCTAATCTGGCAAGACAAATCACCTTGTTTGGGGAACTGAGAAATATTTATCATAGAGTCTTCATACTTGACTAAATCACTTGCAATCTGTTTCCAGATTTGCCCCCAGGAAAGCTCTTCATGTGGTCCTGCCTCCATCTCACTTTGGATCTTGTCTGCTGTAAGGACAGAGAATTCAGAGATGTGAAAACTGGGGGCTCTATTTAAAGTTTTCAAGATGTCATACTTAGGAGACAGCATGGGATTTTAACAAATCCAGAGATGGTCCAGTTTGTATAATTGTCTTTTCCACTGTGTATCATGATCTCTGATTGGCATGCCTAGAGTAATCAAGAGATAGTCTAATTGGCTGCTATCTACTAGGCATTAGACCATACCAAGTCTCCTATGTAAGATACAAGTTAGAAGTCAGAGTTAATTTTAAAAATTAATAATATGATACAAATTGTACTGCCATTTCCGCTGAATTTCAAAGTCAATGTAGAATAACAAATAGTAAATTATATAAATATGAAAAGCATAGGCTATGGTTATGCCTGTATAGCTCAGCATTTTGGGAGGCTGGGGCAGAAGGATATAGTTTGAGGCCAAGGTTTGAGACCAGTCTGGGCAACAAAGCAGGAATGTTTCTCTATTAAAAATATTAAAAGGCCAAGTGTGGTGGCTCATGCCTGTAATCCCAGCCCTTTGGGAGGCTGAGGCGGGTGGATCACCTGAGGTCAGGAGTTTGAGACCAGCCTGGAAAACATGGTGAAACTCCACCTCTACTAAAAATGCAAAAATTAGCTGGGCGTGGTGGCTGGTGCCTGTAATCCCAGCCTCTCTGGAGGCTGAGGGAGGAGAATGGCTTGAACCCAGGAGGCAGAGGTTGCAGTGAGCTAAGATCATGCCATTGCACTCCAGCCTGGGGGACAAGAGCAAGAGTTCATCTCAAATAAATAAATAAATAAAAAGTTTTAAAAATGTAGATAATATGAATCAACAAGAAATTCAAGGGAAAGCAAGAAAATAATCAAATACTTTGCAGTTTAGGTTAATATTACATATTCAAATTATTAAATAACCTGAAATATTTATATTTACATGTTCAAAGTATGGCTGACCCTTGAACAACACAGGTTTGAATTGCATGTGTCCACTTACACATGGATTTTCTTCTATCTCTGTCATCCCTGAGCCAACAAGACCAACCCCTCATCTTCCTCCTTAAAATTTTCTTAGCAACGTTTCCTCTTCTCTCTATTGCAAGAATAAAGAATTCTTTCTTTATTATAAGAATACAATATATAATACATTATAACATACAAAATATGTGTTAAAGGTCTTTTTAAATTTTAGGGAGCAGTCAAAAGTTATACATGGATTTCTACTGTACATGGATTTTTTTTACTGTGAGGGGAATTGGTGTCCCCAGCCCCCACATTGTTCAAGGGTCAACCATATTCCTGAATATGCTGCAAAACATATACACTTAATCTTATTCTTCTGTGTTGATAGACATTAAATGAGTTGGCAACTATTATAAACTCTTGACCACTTCTAATATAACTTACACTTAAAATGTGTCTTCTGAAGGGTTTATCCTTAATAATATTCCAAAATGTTTAACCTTATACAAAGAGATCTAAATATTTGGAAATAATTTTTTAAATGAACTCTTCCACAAAAGTTTAGTGGAAAGAAGTAGCTCAAGGAAATTTTTACAGGGGAAAAATTTACTCCCCTCTCTTCAGGAATAGTGATTTAAAAGCTGCCTCTTGGCAGAGTGCAGTGGCTCACACCTGTAATTCCAGCACTTTGGGAAGCTGAAGCCAGAGGATCATGTGAGTCCAGGAGTTCAAGACCAGCCTAGACAACTTATCAAGACTCTGTCCCTACTGAAAACCTTTTTAAAAAATTGGCCAGATGTGGTGGCATGCACCTGTTGTTCCCACTACTTGGGAGGCTGAGATGGAAGATCACTTGAATGCAGGAATTAGAGGCTGCTGTGAGCCTTGATTGTATCACTGTACTTCAGACTGAGTGACAAGAGTGAGACTCTGTCATGGGGGAAAAAAAAAAAGCTGCCTCCTCCTTTGTATCAGTAGACATTTGTTAAATGGCGTCTACATAACTCTGCCTTGGTCATTTTACTGGAAAGTTACTTCAACGTCTGGGTGACTGGAATGGTTAACATGACTTGCAGGCTGGGAGCAACTATCTAACCACATAGTGACTAAAATATAAGCAGATGCTGAAACTTTAGCTTCTGTCGGCAAGTTCCCTACGTGAGGACAAAAGGGAAAGGAAGTTGAACTGATAACATACATTATTCTAAAATCAAGCAGTAATTCAGACCTCCAGGAAAAAGAAAAGTGAAAAAGTAGCCTCCAATCTTTCACAACTGAGATGGAGACAGGGAGATGAAAAAGATGATGTCACAGCGTAAACTTTGAAAGCCAATCTCACATCAGGAGTTATATTCAGGCAGGAACTCTTCCCAGACAGCAATATGGACAGTTCCTCATGTCTTGTGGGTCTCTGCTCAATGTCAGCTCACCAAGGAGGCCTGCTTTATTACCCATCGAAAAATAATAAATCTGTCTTCACCCAATTCACCTCCGGTAATTTGAACTTGTTTATGTTCTTCACAGCACTTTTACCACTTAAACATACTAAGTTACTGGTCATTTAATGTATGTCCTTCCCACAACAATGCAGCATCAACGAGGGAAGGATTTTCTAATTCTGACATAATACTCATTCCACACTTTCCTCCTTTATAACCACTGTCCAGAACTATGCCTGTCACAGTGAATGCTCAATAAATGTATGTTGAAGGAATAAATGAACCCCAGTTTGACTTTTTCATGTGAGAATTTAAGCCAAGTCCTAGAAGAAAAACATCTTTTCCAAATAAGTTATTCAAAGTAGGAAAAGAACAGAAATTTTTTTTTTGAGATGGAGTTTCGCTCTTGTTACCCAGGCTGGAGTGCAATGGTGCAATCTCGGCTCACCGCAACCTCCGCCTCCTGGGTTCAGGCAATTCTCCTGCCTCAGCCTCCTGAGTAGCTGGGACTACAGGCATGAGCCACCATGCCCAGCTAATTTTTTGTATTTTTAGTAGAGACGGGGTTTCACCATGTTGAGCAGGATGGTCTCGATCTCTTGACCTCGTGATCCACCCACCTCGGCCTCCCAAAGTGTTGGGATTACAGGCGTGACCCATCGCGCCCAGCCAAGAACAGAAAATTTTAATTTTGCAGATAAGCTGAAAAGCTGTATGAGGGACATGTAAATCCAGGATGAGGCTAATAATAAAATTTGAAGATGGCAAGAATCACTTGAAATGAAAAGAAAGCAGAAAGGCCTATATACTGGTTCCTTCTGAAGCTCTGAATATAGATAAGTTGGGCCTTTCACAACGGTTTTCAAATGAACAACTATAGCCCTTTCATGAGCTGTGAAATAAATTTAAAAGCTTGTAATAAGCATTCAGAAAAAAACAACCAGGATAGAAACTATCCGAGCATTACCACCAGCAGAAAAGGGGTCCTTACGTGAAATGCTTACTAAAGCTATAATGTCAATCTACACAGACATGAATTGTTTGTTTCATTGTTCTGGTTACAATAAAAGATGCATTTCTTGCTGTGGCTCATGTTCAAAAGAGCTAAAAAACTTGGGTTCTAGAAGGTACCTGGTCCTTAATTAAACAAACTGCTTTAAATAGAAAGACAACTTCCAAGGCCGGCCCCGGTGGCTCACGCCTGTAATCCCAGCACTTTGGGAGGCCGAGGCGGGTGAATCACAAGGTCAAGAGATCGAGACCATCTGGTCAACATGGTGAAACCCTGTCTCTACTAAAAATATAAAAATTAGCTGGGCATGGTGGCACGCGCTTGTAGTCTCAGCTACTCGGGAGGCTGAGGCAGGAGAATTGCGTGAACCCAGGAGGCAGAGGTTGCGGTGAGCCGAGATCATGCCATTGCACTCCAGCCTGGGCAACAAGAGCGAAACTCCGTCTCAAAAAAAAAAAAAAAATTATTCCTTCCCAGAAATGAATGTGTTCCATACTATGGAAGTCTCCAGGAAAGCCACTGGGAAGGTGTTACTCAGTGTGGTCACAACCACAATGCTTGTAAGTTTTCATGGGATGAGGGTCAAGTGCACACACTAAGACACATACATGTGAAGGGCACGTAAGGAAGAAAAAGCTGAATGTACAGCCATCAGAAAACACATAATGTTCTGCAACACGCTTCATTCACTCTGGTTTGTGTATGACCTGACCTAGCTGCAAGACTCCTAGAGTGAGGTCACATCCATCCATTAACGCCTTCATGACGCCAACAAATATTTATATTAACAGATATCTGCCATGTAACAGGACTATTTAGGCACTGATGATACAGCAATAAACAAAACAAAAAAAATTCTCCACTCTTGGAGATTATATTCCAGTGGGGAGAAAAAAGGGATAAGCAAGTAAACCAAAGTCTATGAGACACAAGAGAAGGCAGAGCAGAGAGTAAAGGATGGCAGTACCAGTAAGGTGGTCAGAAAAGGCCTTCACCGTGAAATTAAAATTGAGCAGAGACCAGAATGAAGCAAGAGAGGGGCCAAGAGGATTTTAGGTGAGTTTTTCCAGGCAGAGAGAAGGGCAAATAAGGGCTTTGAGGCAGAAGTATCTGTAGTTGACAGAATAATGGTCCCTGAAAGAATCCATGTTCTAATTCTCATCCTAAGAATAGGCCAGGTTATAACAAAGGGTAATTAAGGTTGCAAATCAGCTGACCTAAAAATAGAACGCAATTCTATATTATCCAGGTGGGCCTAATGCAGTTAGAAGGGTCCTTATAAAGTGGAAAAAGGATGAAGAAAGAATAAAAGGGAAATGTAACTGTAGAAGAATGATCAGAGAAGCAGTGTTGCTAGCTGCAAAGAGGGCCACAGGCTATGAAATTTGGCAGCCTCTAGACACTGAAAAGGTAAGGATACAGATTCTCCTTCCCTAAAGCCTCCAGGAAAAAAATGCAGACCTGCTGACAGCTTGATTTCAGCCCAGTGAGATCCATGCTGGACTTCAAACAAAGAACTGAAAGACAATACATTTTTATCCTTTAATCCACTCAGTTTGTGGTAAAATGTACAGCAGCAGAAAGAAATAGTGTCCAGGTTGGGCACGGCGGCTTGTGCTTATAATCCCGGCACTTTGGAAGGCTGAGGCAGGTGGATGACCTGAGGTCAGTAGTTTGAGACCAGCCTGCCAACCTGGTGAAATCCCATCTCTACAAAAAAAATACAAAAATCAGCCAGGCATGGTTACAGGAACGTGTAATCCCAGCTACTTGGGAGGCTGAGGCAAGAGAATCGCTTGAACCTGGGAGGTGGAGGTTGCAGTGAGCCGAGATTGTGCCAGTGAGCCTGGCCAACAGAGCGAGACTCTGTCTTAATAATAATAATGTAGTGTCCTTAGCCGGTCTGGGAAACAGTAGGGAGGATGATGTGGTTGGAAAAGATGGAGCAAGAGGTAGAATACAGGAGATTTAGTCAGAGAGGCAGAGGGGGATGAAGAGCAGAACACGTAGGACTCTATAAGCTCCTATAAAAGGCTTCAACTTTCAGAAAAATAAGAAGCCATTCAGAGTTGGTTTTTTTTTCTTTTAGAGTGTCGTTCTGTTGCCCAGGCTGGAGTGCAGTGGTATGATCTCGGCTCACCGCAACCTTGCCTCTTGGGTTCAGCTGATTCTCCTGCCTAAGCCTTCCAAGTAGCTAGGACTACAGGCGCTTGCCACCATGCCCGGCTAATTTTTGTATTTTTATTACAGAAGGGGTTTTGCCATGTAGGCCAGGTTGGTCTCAAACTCCTGACCTCAGGTGATCCTCCTGCCTCGGCCTCCCAAAGTACTGGGATTACAAGTATGAGCCAGTGCGCCCAGCCCCATACAGGGTCTTAAGCAGAGGAACGGCAATCTGACTCATATTTCCAAAAGATCATTTTGGCTGTGACATGGAGAACAGCCTGTAGGAGAACATACATTATACCTTCAAGTATACCTGGCTTTGTACTGCACTTAGTACAAAGTGCAAGTTTTTATTTCACTAAAAACTGTTGATAGAAAAGTCAGGTCCACAAATGTGGGTGACTAATTCAAAACCTCCAAAGTGCTGAACACCTGAAGACACAAAGTCACTCCAGGAGACTGACATTTAGTGTCACAAAGCTCATGTCCTCACCCACTGAGAGCAGGTTCCTGAAGTTCTCCAGCATCACATCTCTGTACAGATTCCTCTGGACAGGGTCCAGCAGCCCCAGCTCCTCCTCAGTGAAGACCACAGCCACGTCCTTGAAGGTCAGTCCCTCCTATAACATCAAACACACCTTGCTTCAGCATTTTTTAAAATTGCGTTTTAGGTTTTGGAGTACATGTGAAGAACATGCAAGATTGTTGCATAGGTACTCACGTGGCAGTGTGATTTGCTGCCTTCCTCCCCTTCACCTATATCTGGCTTTTCTCCCCATGCTATCTCTCCCCAACTCCCCACCCCCTGCCGTCCTTCTCCTATTTCCCCGCTAGAGACCCCAGTGTGTAGTGCTCCCCTCCCTGTGTCCATGTGTTCTCATTGTTCAATACCTGCCTATGAGTGAGAACATGCGGTGTTTGATTTTCTGTTCTTGTGTCAGTTTGCTGAGAATGATGGTTTCCAGCTTCATCCATCTCCCTGCAAAGGACACAAACTCATCGTTTTTGATGGCTGCATAATATTCCATGGTGTATATGTGCCACATTTTCCCTGTCCAGTCTATCATCGATGGGCATTTGGGTTGGTTCCAGGTCTTTGCTATTGTAAACTGTGCTGCAATGAACATTCGAGTGCATGTGTCCTTATAGTAGAATGATTTATAATCCTTTGGATATATACCCAGTAATGGGATTGCTGGGTCAAATGGAATTTCTATTTCTAGGTCCTTGAGGAATCGCCACACTGTCTTCCACAATGGTTGAACTAATTTACACTCCCACCAACAGTGTAAAAGTGTTCCTATTTCTCCACATCCTCTCCAGCATCTGTTGTCTCCAGATTTTTTAATGATCGCCATTCTAACTGGCGTGAGATGGTATCTCAATGTAGTTTTGATTTGCATTTCTCTAATGACCAGTGATGATGAGCATTTTTTCATATGTTTGTTGGCCTCATGTATGTCTTCTTTTGTAAAGTGTCTGTTCATATCTTTCTCCCACTTTTTGAATGGGCTTGTTTTTTTCTGGTAAATCTGTTTGAGTTCTTTGTAAATTCTGGATATCAGCCCTTTGTCAGATGGGTAGACTGCAAAAATTTTTTCCCATTCTGTTGGTTGCCGATTCACTCTAATGACTGTTTCTTTTGCCGTGCAGAAGCTGTGGAGTTTAATTAGGTCCCATTTATCTATTTTGGCTTTTGTTGCCAATGCTTTTGGTGTTTTAGTCATGAAGTCCTTGCCTACGCCTATGTCCTGAATGGTTTTGCCTAGATTTTCTTCTAGGGTTTTTATGGTGTTAGGTCTTATGTTTAAGTCTTTAATCCATCTGGAGTTAATTTTAGTGTAAGGTGTCAGGAAGGGGTCCAGTTTCTGCTTTCTGCACATGGCTAGCCAGTTTTCCCAACACCATTTATTAAACAGGGTATCCTTTCCCCATTGTTTGTTTTTGTCAGGTTTGTCAAAGATCGGACGGTTGTAGATAGGTTGTGTTGCCTTGGAGGCCTCTGTTCTGTTCCATTGGTCTATATCTGTTTTGGTACCAGTACCATGCTGTTTTGATTACTGTAGCCTTGTAGTATAGTTTGAAGTCCAGTAGTGTGATGCCTCCCGCTTTGTTCTTTTTGCTTAGAATTGACTTGGCTCTGCGGGCTCTCTTTTGGTTGCTTCAGCATTATTAACAACCACTTGAAAAGATATAGCACTGAGAAGGTGGAGAGTATGCAGGGTAAGTTGGTCCAGATTTTCAGACTTAATGTGTAGATTTCTCAGCCCTTCCCCTTCCATCTTACCAACGCCACATTTCCATTTTCCTTAGTGTCAGTAAAAGTATATCAGTGACAATAGCCTTCGATGTTGCCTTTGTGCCTTCACTGAGTCTATTTGTAAGTAACTCTAAGTGATGTTTCCTGAGCCATACAGGTTTCACCTTTTGGTACATATTACCAATTGCCCCAGAAACATTGAGCAAGTCAGAACCAACATACATGGTAACATCCACCTTCCTTCTCTCACACAGGAACCCTGGATGCTATCCCTTTTCATTAAAGTCTGCCAAACTAACAAGCTTTTGGGAACATATCTGGAACTGCTACATAGTTTTCCTTCTGTATACCCAGGGCACACAGCACCATTACTACCTGCAGCATTTGGTGTCATAATCTGGAGCCATCATACCTCAGTATACACCACAAGGGTGCCCATCAAAGTTGTGTGATCTCGGATAAGTTCACCTAGTTTCATCTTGGGTATGATGGTTCTTCCATGACAGAGTTCTTTCAAAGGTTGAACAAGAGACTAAATATAGCATTTGGAATAGTGTGTGGCACAGACAAAGTACCTAACAAACATTAGCTAGTATTTATTATTATCATCATCTATTTCATCTCACTTCATGACTGCATATTATTCAGGGGAACTGATGATCTGAATCTACCTGTTCTAAATAATGAATATTTAATTTTAAGTATTTTTCTCATTACAGCCAATCCAGCAAAAACATCATTTTACATGGATCTTACTTTTTTATTTTTATTTTATTTTATTTTTGATTCAGTTCACAGCCCAAACTTTTTTTTTTTTGAGACTGAGTTTCACTCTTGTTGCCCAGGATGGAGTGGAATGGCGCAATCTCGGCTCACTGTAACCTCTGCCTCCCAGATTCGAGTGATTCTCCTGCCTCAGCCTCCCAAGTAGCTGGGATTACAGGCATGTGCCACCATGCTCCGCTAATTTTGTATTTTCAGTAGAGACAGGATTTCACCATGTTGGTCAGGCTAGTCTTGAACTTCTGACCTCAGGTGCTCTGCCTGCGCTGGCCTCCCAAAGTGCTGGGATTATAGGCATGAGCTACCACGCCAAGTAGATCTTATTTTCATGTGTATTTAAAATGATTGCAGGCCACGCACAGTGGCTCACACCTGTAATCCCAGCACTTTGGCAGGCCAAGGCTGGTGGGCTGCTTGATCCCAGGAGTTCAAGACCAGCCTGGCCAACATGGTGAGACCCTGTCTCTCCAAAAAATTAGCTGCATGTGGTGGTGTGTGCCTGTGGCCTCACATACTCAGAGGCTGAGGTGAGAGAATGGTGAGAGAATTGCTCGAGCCCAGGAAATCAAGGTTGTGATGAGCCATGATCACACCACTGCACTCTAGCCTGGGCGACAGAGTGAGACCCTGTCCCAAATAAATAAATAATTGCAAATGAAAAATAAAATATCTAAAAATAAACACAATTAAAATTATAATCACATAATGGCAGATTTTCTTCCTAACCTTTTTCCTTCCTCCCTAATCTTTCAAGAGAATACAAGTACCTTACAAAAATAAAAAATAAAAGAAAAAAGAGAATACAAGTACCTTGTTTCTCTACATGATGACCAACATCAGGTTACAAATTTTCCAATGGTTTTGGTAATCTAATTAAGAACAACATTTCTTTTTTTTTTTTTTTAGATGGAGTTTCGCTCTTGTTGCCCAGGCTGGAGTGCAATGGCGTGATCTCAGGTCACTGCAATCTCTGCCTCCCGGGTTCAAGCGATTCTCCTGCCTCAGCCTCCCAAGTAGCTGGGATTACAGGCATGCGCCACCATGCCTGGCTAATTTTGTATTTTTAATAGAGATGGGGTTTTTCAATGTTAGTCAAGCTAGTCTTGAACTCCTGACCTCAGAAGATCTGCCCGCCTTGGCCTCCCAAAGTGCTGTGATTACAGGCATGAGCCACTGAACCGGCCAACAATTCTTTTTATTCTTCTTACTTACTTGATTATAAATGAATACCAGTCTTAATTGTGAATTTCATCTTTTTTGGCACCTGTGTGGTAAATATTTTTGCCCTAGCTTGTTATATTTTCTCCTAATACTCTGTAAGGTATCTTTTGTCATGGAGTAATTTAAAGGTTTTATATAATCACTGTGTTGATCATCATCCTTGGGCACCCAGAGTGCTAAGCATCTCAGTGTACCTGAGGGGCCACCACATTAGGAAGACAAGGTGTCCCTCCATACCTGCGGATGTCATCACCCAACAGGGCACTCCAAACATCTACACCACGGGTCATTCCATTGAGAAATATTTGTTTCCTTGTGCCTCTCACTTTCACTTGAATGGAATGAGTAATGTTCCTGACCCCTGACTTTCTATGCCAATCTGAGCAGGTTTCTCATATTTCACCTGTTTAAGAGAAAGAAGAGGCCAGGAACCTCCTCACTCCACTGCTCTGAGTAAATGCAGTAACAGAACACAAGTGACTGGCAAATGTTCAGCATCCCTGGATGTTTTAAATGAAGGTTACTACCTACTACTTTGGTCAAACTGGTTACTACATGAAGGCATGAGACACTAGTAAATAAAATGCATACAAAGTATGACTGAGGCATGGAGAACACAGAATCTGGCCCTTTCTATATGAAAACTTCAACAGTACTTGTGTAAAGCAGCATTATAGCCTGTTGTGCTATGCCATGTTAGAATATTCTATCTACAAAACAGCCAATGTGGTACATGTCAAAAGTACTCTTTCAGAATTGAGCTTCCAGTACCTTAAAGACAAAAAACATCAGCAGAAAGTTTTCAGAATTGATTTTTGAGGAAAAGGTTATGTAGGAAAATTGTCACTGCCGTGTAATTTAAAACAATGAAATTCTTAAATCACCTACTTGTCCGTGAGTGGGAAGCAGTCAAAAATAAAAAGACAGGCCAACAATCATATGAAAAAATGCTCATCGTCACTGGTCATCAGAGAGATGCAAATCAAAACCACATTGACATACCATCTCACGCCAGTTAGAATGGCGATCATTAAAAAATCTGGAGACAACAGATGCTGGAGAGGAGGTGGAGAAAAAGGAACACTTCTACGCTGTTGGTGGGAGTGTAAATTAGTTCAACCATTGTGGAAGACAGTGTGGCGATTCCTCAAGGCCTTAGAAATAGAAATTCCATTTGACCCAGCAATCCCATTACTGGGTATATATCCAAAAGACTATAAATCGTTCTACTATAAGGACACATGTACACGAATGTTCATTGCAGCACTGTTTACAATAGCAAAGACCTGGAATCAACCCAAATGCCCATTGATAATAGACTGGATTGGAAAAAAGTGGCACATATACACCATGGAATATTATGCAGCAATCAGAAATGATGAGTTTGTGTCGTTTGTAGGGACATGGATGAATCTGGAGAACTTCATCCTCAGCAAACTGACACAAGAACAGAAAATGAAACACCGCATATTCTCACTCATAGGTGGGTGATGAAAAATGAGAACACATGGACACAGAAAGGGGAGTACTAAACACTGGGGTCTATTGGGGGGAAAAGGGGAGGGCCAGTGGGAGGGGGAGGTGGGGAGGGATAGCCTGGGGAGAAATGCCAAATGTGGGTGAAGGGGAGAAGAAAAGCAAAGCACACTGCCATGTGTGTACCTACGCAACTGTCTTGCATGCTCTGCTCATGTACCCCAAAACCTAAAATCCAATAAAAAAAAAATAATAAAAAAAATAAAATGACACATTAATTAAATGGGAATATGACATAGCCTCAAAAAATGAACATTATTTAGTGCCTAATGAAAAAATAATAATTAAAAATGAGATACATATCGTGAATACTAATATGAACGCACATTAGGAAAAGACTATAAGAAAATAAAAACGGCTAATATGTAAGCAGAGAGGTGGGAGAACTGTTCATTCCCACTAATTTTTCTACTCTATTAAAGAAACACAGTTGTCCTTCAATATGCTTGGGGAATTGGTTCAAGGATCCCTGAGGATACCATAATTTATGATGCTCAAATCTCTTATCTAAAACAGTGTTTGTAGTAGAGTCAGCCCTCCACATCAACGGATTCCACATCCGTAGATTCGATTAACTACAAAAGGAAAATACATATGGTCAGCCTTACATATACTCAGGTTTCAATCTGCAGTTTGTTGAATCCATGGATGCAAACCTCAAAGATGCATAAACCCTAGATGTGAAACCCACAGATACAGAAGTTCGACTGACTGCAATAATAAAATAAACAATGTGTAAAACCAAAGTCAACTCAAAAGGCAGAGTTGTTCTTGAGTCTTCCTGAGCAAACATGACAATGTGAATAGAGATGGAATTTTAACAGCAAGACAGGCAAGCCTTATTCACCTTGAATGTGGTCATTTTTCCTCCTGTTTCTGGGAATTTGCAGAGTCCTGAGTTATGCCATTTGAGAGAAGGCAGAATCGTGCCTGGAACACTGCTGAAGACATAAAAAATCGTTTTAATTTAAAGTTTTTCAAAATCAGGAAATAGTCATAAGGAGTAACAATAATGAGAAGAATAAGAATGAGCACGACAGAATATGGCAGGTCACGAGCTTCTTAGCTCTTTATTTGGAAATTTCCATGGATAAACAGATAGGCAGAAAAACACTGAGAAAAGTATAGTAAAAAGTTTGTAAAACATTTATAAGTAAATAAATACAAACATAGAACCACTAAAACAAAATGCATTAGAAATGTCACCATTACTGCCAGGCGCGGTGGCTCACGCCTATAATCCTAGCACTTTGGGAGGCTGAGGCAGGTGGATCATGAGGTCAGGGGATGGAGAACATCCTGGCTAACACGGTGAAACCCCGTCTCTACTAAAAATACAAAAATTAGCCAGGCGTGGTGGCACACGCCTGCAGTGCCAGGTACTTGGGAGGTTGAGGCAGGGGAATTGCTTGAACACAGGTGGTGGAGACGGAGGTTGCAGTGAGCCGAGATCGGGCCACTGCACTCCAACATGTGACAAAGAGACACTCCGTCTCAAGAAAAGAAAAAGAAAAAGAAATTAACCATGACTATCTTTTCAACCTGGAATCATAGGTAATTAAAATTTTCATATCTTCATATTTCTGGAATTTCTGAATGGTCTACAGTGATATGGTTCTATTAGAATGTGAAATATTTTTAATAAATGAAACAAAATGGTTGACAGTTTTTAAAAACTCAGAAAACTCCAAGCGGATTAGCCTTGCTCTCAAGGTCCTTCAGTCAAGTTCTAACTTACTTTCTCTACCTGAGTCCAGCTAGTTCCAATGCCTCAGTGAGAATATATCCAAGAGATGATCGACTCGGACTCTGCCCCTGAGTGCCTAGGTTCCAACCCCAGCTTCACCTCTTACTACTTGGATGACTACAGACAAATAACTGGTACTCCCTGCGTCTCACACTCATCTTTAGAGTGGAAAAAAGCAGTACCTCTCCACAAAGACACAGTTCGGCTTAAACGTATTTAATTGTACACAGCCCCTACAACTGAAGTTAGTAATTTTTTTTTTTTTTTTTTTTTTTGAGACGGAGTTTCGCTCTTGTTACCCAGGCTGGAGTGCAATGGCGCGATCTCGGCTCACCGCAACCTCCACCTCCTGGGTTCAGGCAATTCTCCTGCCTCAGCCTCCTGAGTAGCTGGGATTACAGGCAGGTGCCACCGTGCCCAGCTAACTTTTGTATTTTTAGTAGAGGCGGGGTTTCACCATGTTGACCAGGATGGTCTCGATCTCTTGACCTCGTGATCCACCTGCCTCGGCCTCCCAAAGTGCTGGGATTACAGGCGTGAGCCACCGCGCCCGGCCTGAAGTTAGTAATTAAGGCTTAATTATTATAAATACACATGCCCTATTACACATGCTACAAAAATACAGTCTCCGTAAAAGAAAAATGACAAGTCACACTCACTCAGGTGGAGCTTTGCTTTCAGGAGCCAAGAAGTCACCCCGTTCAGTCCTTTTTCAGGCTGGGGAAGGAGAAAGCTGTGTGTGAAATACCCTCACCTGGTCACTGTCCTCAAGAAAAGTTAAATATTCCCCTCCCTTCGTGGAAGTGGACACAACCCTCGCCTTCCCAAAACGAGGTCAGAAGGCGTCGGGGATCGTCCAGCGTCCTGTAGAGATGAGAGACAAGGGCTTGGGGCCCCTCCTGCTGGAGCTCTGACGCCACCCGGGGACCTGACAGGCTTCGTGGAAAATTAACAAGAGACCACCGGTCACCAAGTGATATGGATTGCTTCTGCTGTGTAACCTATTCCAGTTCCCGAGTCTACAAGGATGGTCCTAAAGTCCCTATTGTAAAGAACAGCAAGGAGAGGCCCAGGGAGATTAAGTAACACCCCAACATTACACTGTAATGAAGTGGCCACGCGCCTGGAGTGCAGGGAGGAGGAGTGGGCGAGCTCAGAGCCCCGGAAATCCTGAAACCAGGCGAGACGCGACCCGACCATGTCCCAAATACCCCGCCTCCGCCCCGCCCCGGGACGCGAGAAGACCCCCAGCCCAAGAGGGCCCTACTGACAGAACAAAAGCCGCCGCCCTCACCCCTCCAAACCTCTGCTCTCCAACGAGGATTCTTTTCCCGTAACCGGACCGTCGGGTCCCAAGAAGCCCAAGCTTAAGTCTCTGACATTAGAAAGGGCCCGCAAAACGCGGAACTGGATCAAACTACCACGGAATGCCCGGCGGCAACCGCACCCCCCCCACGCCCTCCCCGAGCGGAAGTGGCTGTGACTCCACTGATCGTCGGGACTACATTTCCCAGAATCCCCGGGACCCGCCTGCAAACGGACCAAGACTCCTCCGAGCGTTTGGACTAACACTCAGAATGCTGAGGGAAAAACGTCCAGAATCTCAACGTTCAGGGGAAGGCGTTGATACTCCGCGGTGCTCCTTGACTACGCTTTCCGAAATGCCCATGGGGAACGAATCCTATATCCCTGAGCGCCCAGTAGGGTATATGGACTGTGACCCTGAAAGTCGTCTTTCCTCCCTCTCCTTGAGTCCTTGAGTGAAAATACTGAACAGACAGGAATTCCTGAAGTCTAAACGCCTCCCAGGACTACAGGAATGTTATTGGAAAGAGAACAAACGAGGAGATACAACCTTGAGGAAATAAACAGGGAATGTCGGGGTCAGTAGTTAATTGAAAGAAAGCTAATGATTGCTATAAACTGATAGTATGAGGCTAAAAGTTTAAAAAATGAGCAAAGTACAGTGGTTTGGGAGAGGCAATGAAGAACGAAGGTGCTGGCCCCTACTCCGGAAGCTGTGATACCACTGGTTTGCCCGGCAAAACAATCATCATTTGAGAGGGTCAGTGGGGAATCCCTGTCGCTATCTTCCTTCATTTACATTTTCATGGTATTCTGTCTACCGAAGAGGCAAAACACCAAATTTCAGGGGAGCTCGTAAATTGCCCACTATTTCCAAGCAAGTATAACTGGTGAAACGTTTGGCATTGGTGTCAGACACCCAACGTCTATGATTTATTTAATGCAGTAGCATTGAGAAGGATCCTATATATGAGGGAACGTATTTGAGTTTCTTCCTTTATGTTTTTTGGTTAAAATGCCGTTATTATAGTTAGTAATTTGGAATCTGTCTTATGTTAGTTAATACGAATTAATAATAGAATAAAGCAAAATCAGAAAACAACCCATCTAAAATCCTTCTTGAAGATAACCAGATTTTTTCTCCCCATAAACATACATTAGCCTATTGATATGGTTTAGATCTGTGTCCCACCCAAATCTCGTGTTGAAATGTAATCCCTCATTTATGATGGGGGAGGTTTCTAATGCTTTAGCACCATTCCCTTAGTGCTGTTCTCCTGATGGAGTTCTTATGAGATCTGGTTGTTTAAAACTGCGTAGCACCTCCCTCTTTGTTCTTTTCCTCCAACTCTGGTCATGGAAGTGCTGGCTCCCTGGTCCCCTTCAACCATGGTTATAAGTTTCCTGAGGCCTCCCCAGAAGCCGAGCTGATGCTGCCGTTCTTCCTCTACAGCCTGCAGAACGCTGCATCAGCCGGTTAAACCTCTTTATAAATTATCCATACTCAGGTATTTCTTTATAGCAATGCAGAAATGGACTAATACACTTATCAATCTATATTTTTGGTTTTTAAAAACTAAGTCTCATGTTCTATATTTATTTTATAAACTAAAAAAAAAAGACCTTTCCATAATTTTGTTTACACATAAAAACAGGTTACTGTGCTAACCACCCAATGCCATACATCTCCCTCTCTGAAAATGTATTGACATTTCCATACTAGTTACAGCTGTATTGTTGCTCTAATATGCCCTTCAAATGATAAAATTTATTGAGATGATCCATCTTGGCCAAGCACCTGTAATCCCAGTACTTTGGGAGACCAAGGCTGGTGGATTACTTGAGGCCACGAATTTGAGGGCAGCCTGACCAACACAGTGAAATGCTGTCTCTACTAAAAATGCAAAAAATTAGCTGGCATGGCATGGTGGTGCATGCCTGTAATCCCAGCTGTTCAGGAGACTGAGGTACAAGAATCCCTTAAACCTGGGAGGCCGAGATCACACCACTACACTTCAGCCTGGCTGACAGAATGAGACACTGTCTCAGAAAAATAAAAATGGAAGGAAGAAAGGGAAGGAGGGAAGAAGGAAGGGAAGTGCACTTCAGCTGGGTGCACTGAGCAAGACTATGACTCAAAAAGAAAAAAAGGAAGGAAGAAATATAAATCAATATCTTCTAAATAATTTTTTTAAAAATGTCCAGAGTTATATTTTTAACATTTTGATCTTCAGGGATTCCAACATTCAAGATTATGTCTTTCTGGATTATGATCAATTCCTGTCCTTAGTGTATGATCTCAGGATATACCAAATACTCGTTTTTATCCATTGTTGGTGCTGCTAAACTTGAACAGTTGATTAAGGTGTTTCCAGAATTCTGCACTCTAAAATTATTTTTCCCCTAAAAAGTTACTACTAAATAAGTAGTAAAATTTTCACCAAATGGTGAAAAATTGAGATATTCCAACTCTTTCTGTGTTTATTTCTTGGCATTATACTCTAAGAAAAAGCTTGCCATGTTTATTATTATTTTATTTTCAGGGATAGAGGGGTGGGAGGCAGGGTGGGGGACAGATGGGGTTTCACCATGTTGGCCAGACTGGTCTCCAACTCCTGACCTCAAGCGATCCGCCTGCTTTGGCCTTCCAAAATGCTGGGATTACAGGCATGAGCCACCACACCTGGCCAGAGAAATCCACTGATATTACTGAGGATCTCTTGTACATGACAAGTCACTTTCATGCTGCTGCTTTCAAGATGTTCCTTTGTCTTTTTTATTATAATGTGTCTCAATGTGGGTCTCTTTGGGTTTATCCTACTTGAAGTTCATTGAGATTCTTGGATTTGCAGATCCATGTGTTTCTCAAATTTGAGAAGTTTTTAGTGCTTTAGTTAAATAATCTTTCCATCCCTTTCTCCCTTCATCTAGGACTCCTATAAAGCATACATTGGTTCAGCCTGTATGACAGAGCAAGACTCTGTCTCAAAAAGACTGCAGGCCAGCTGGGTGCAGTGGTTCACGCCTGTAATCCCAACACTTTGGGTGTCCGAGGCGGGTGGATCACGAGGTCAAGAGATCGAGACCATCCTGCTCAACATGGTGAAACCCCGTCTCTACTAAAAATACAAAAAATTAGCTGGGCATGGTGGCGCGTGCCTGTAATCCCAGCTATTCAGGAGGCTGAGGCAGGAGAATTGCCTGAACCCAGGAGGCAGAGATTGCAGTGAGCCGAGATTGCGCCATTGCACTCCAGCCTGGGTAACAAGAGCGAAACTCCATCTCAAAAAAAAAGGAAGAAAGAAAAAAAAGACTGCAGGCCATAGTTTTCTAATACTATGTGCACAAAAAGTTAATATAACAGGCCTGAGACTGCAAATTCTGGAAAGGACTGCTTACAAGACTGGCTTTTAGCTGGTGTTAGGAAACATGAGGTTTGAGAGGGTTGTCACCATTCCATAACTGGTAGGCACGGTTCAAGTTATTTTGAACGCTTGCTCCCCTTCTTGGAGTCTAGAATCTTGATCTGTACCAGAGGGATGGTACCTACATGATCAGTCCCAATAAGAACCTTAAGTATGGGTTGATAATAAACATCCATTGTAGACATTTCACAAGTACTATCACAATTCAATACTGGAGGAAATGAGACCTGTTACTCCATGCACAAAGGATCTTTACAAATTTGTATCTGATTCCCTCCAGATATTGTCTAAGAACCATTTCCCTTTACTATTTGTATCCCGTCACTATAAAATAGTCATGAGTACAACTATTCTTTTTTTTTTTTTTTTTGAAACAGTTTCGCTCTTGTTGCCCAGGCTGGAGTGCAATGGCGCAATCTCGGCTCATGGCAACCTCCGCCTCCTGGGTTCAGGCAATACTCCTGCCTCAGCCTCCTGAGTAGCTGGGATTACAGGCACACGCCACCATGCCCAGCTAATTTTTTTTGTTTTTTTAGTAGAGACGGGGTTTCACCATTTTGACCAAGTACAACTATATTCTTTTTTTCTTTTTTGAGATGGAGTTTCGCTCTTGTTACCCAGGCTGGAGTGCAATGGTGCGATCTCGGCTCACCGCAACCTCCACCTCCTGGGTTCAGGCAATTCTCGTGCCTCAGCCTCCCGAGTAGCTGGGATTACAGGCACGCGCCACCATGCCCAGCTAATTTTTGTATTTTTAGTAGAGACGGGGTTTCACCATGTTGACCAGGATGGTCTCTATCTCTTGACCTCGTGATCCAGCCGCCTCGGCCTCCCAAAGTGCTGGGATTACAGGCGTGAGCCACCGTGCCGGCCTATATTCTGAGTCCTCTTAGCAAATCACAGAACCTGAAGAGATTGTCTTAGGGACCTCCAACCCACTATGCAAATTGAGACAGTATGGATCTTCATAAAGTATCTAGCATCCTGGAAAGATACGGTCTAGAACATTAAGTATAAAAATCAAATCTATCTCTAGTAGCCATTTTACTGAAGAAAGCATTTTAACCTAATGTACTCAAAATATCACCTTGGTGTCTATGAATGGAATGGCACTCAAACCTGCTTTGTCCTAACTGGTTCCACAGTTAGAGGCCCAACTGCTGTCATGCTATTTTTCCCTACCCATATACACCTTTTCTTAAAAGAATCTTTATTGGCCGGGCGCGGTGGCTAAAGCCTGTAATCCCAACACTTTGGGAGGCCGAGGTGGGTGGATCACGAGGTCAAGAGATCGAGACCATCCTGGTCAACATGGTGAAACCCCGCCTCTACTAAAAATACAAAAATTAGCTGGGCATGGTGGCGTGTACCTGTAATCCCAGCTACTCAGGAGGCTGAGGCAGGAGAATTGCCTGAACCCAGGAGGTGGAGATTGTGGTGAGCCGAGATCACGCCATTGCACTCCAGCCTGGGTAACGAGTGAAACTCTGTCTCAAAAAAAAAAAGAATCTTTATTGATTTTTTTACATACACATGTATACCCCTTTTTTCTCTCTCCAGGATTTTTCCACTCCTTGACTTACACTTAAAGCAAGCTCACATGCATTATGTATGAGGGCAGCTGAAGACACTCACCAATTTTTCTCTATATTCAAACTGGATAATTTTTTTGTTTTGAAAACCAATTTCCACAATCCTATTCCTTAATTTTTGAGTCATGTCATATTATTATAAGATAATTGGTACATATCCAAAGAAAAGGGAATCAGTATGTTAAAGAGTCTACCTCCCATGTTTATTGTAGCACTACTCACGATAGCCAAGAAATAGGCCAAGATATGTAATTAACCTACGCGTCCACTGGATGAATGAATAAAGAAAATGTGGCAAATATACACATCAGAGTATTACTTAGCCATGAAAAATGACAAAATTCTGTCACAGCAAAGTGAATGAACCTTACAGGGCATTATATTAAGTGATATATGCCAGGCACAGAAAGGTAAATACCACATGTTCTCATGCATATGTGGAAGCTCAAAAAGTTAATTTCATGGAAGTAGAGAGTAGAATAGTAGTAGTTCTTAGAGGTGAGGAGGGAGGGTGGTAGCCAAAAGTTGGTTAATCAATGTAGAAATGCAGGTAGGAGGTAAGTTCTAGTATTTTACACCACTGCAGGGTGACTGTAATTAACAACTTATCATTTTCAGATAGCTAGAATAGTGAATTTTAAGGATTCCGAACACAATGATAAATGTTTGAGGTGAGTATGTTAATTATACTAATTTGATCATTATACATTATATATTTGTATTAACTATCACACTGTACCTCATAAACAAGTATAATAATTATGTGTCATTTAAAAATAATGACAAAAGCATATCAAGATTCAGACGCCTCTTGTAGCGCTTCCCACAGTCCTCACATTTAGATGGTTTCTCTCCACTTTGGTCTCTTTGTTGGTCTTTAAGGCATGAGCTGTGCACAATGCTCTTCCCACAGTCCTCACACTGAAGTGGTTTTTCTCTACTGTGGAGTCTCTGATGGGTTAGATGAGTTGAGGCCCATCTGAAGCTCTTTCCACACTTCTCACACTTGTATGGTTTTTCCCCAGTGTGAACACTCTGATGGGAATGAAGCTGTGAATTCTCAGTAAATCTCTTCCCATACTCTTCACATTTGAATGGCTTTTCATCATCGTGGAGTCTCTTATGATTCAAAATACTTGAGGCCCGGCTGAAGCTCTTCCCACATTCTTTACAATTATAAGGTCTCTCTCCCGTGTGGACTCTCTGGTGCATGTCAAGATTAAACTTACTAATGTAGCCCTTCCCACACTCCTCACATTTGTATGGCTTTACTCCAGTGTGGACTCTGCGATGAGAATAAAGTTGTGAATTCTGAGTAAATCTTTTCCCACACTCTTCACATTTGAATGGTTTTTCTCCACTATGGACTCTACGATGGGTATAAAGTTGTGAATTCTGAGTAAATCTTTTCCCACACTCTTCACACTTGAATGGTTTTTCTCCACTGTGGATTCTCTGATGATTCAAAAGACATGAGGCCCAGCCAAAGCTCTTCCCACATTCCTTACAATTGTAGGGTTTCTCTCCTCTGTGGACCCTCTGATGAAAGTCAAGATCCAATCTCCTTTTGTAGCCCTTCCCACACTCCTCACATCTATATGGCTTTTCTCCACTGTGGGCTCTCTGGTGAGAATAACGCTGTGAATTTGTATAAAATCCCTTCCCACATTCTTCACATTTGAATGGTGTCTCTCCACTGTGGACTCGCACATGTCTTGAAAGACCTGAGGCCCATCTGAAGCTCTTTCCACACTCTTTACAATTATATGGCTTCTCCCCTGTGTGGTCTATCTGATGCTTATAAAGATCTTGCCTATAAATGAAGCGTTTTCCACATTCCTCACATTTGTACCGTTTCTCTCCTGTGTGAATCATGCGATGACTATTAAGTACTGATTTCAAACCAAAGCCCTTACCACATGTATCACATATGAATGGTTTCTCTCGCATGTGGACCATGGAGTGCCTATTAAGATTTGCTCTACTACGGAAGCTCTTATCACATATATCACATTTGAATGGCTTCTCCCCAGTATGGATTCTCTGATGTTCTTGAAGCTGGGAATCATGAATGAAGGCCTTCCCACATTCCTCACAAATATGAGGTTTCTCTCCTGTGTGTAATTTACGATGAACATAAAGTCCTGATCTACGACTAAAGCCTTTCCCACACTGCTCACATCTGAATGGTTTCTCTCCAGTGTGGATTCTCTGATGAATTTGCAGATGTGAGCTCTGATTGAATTCCTTACCACACACATCACAATTAAAGAGTTTCTCCCCCATGTGAACTCTCCGATGGATGCGAAGAGCTGAGCTATAACAGAAACTCTTTCCACATTCATCACATGTATGAGACTTCTCTCTTGACTGCAATTGTTGATGAAGATCAAGGATGGTGACATCACTAAAGGATTTTTTACACTTCCCACCCTCAGAAGGTTTCTTTCCTTTGTGAATTATAGATAGTCTGGCATTAACCTGGCAGGGCATATCATCTTGTTTGGGGAACTGAGAGCTGTTTACCATGGAGTCTTGAAATCTGGTTAAGTCACTTGAAATTTGTTCCCAGGTTTGATGGCTAAACAACCCTTCATGTGTCCCTTGTTCTGGAACAGTTTCCATCTCAGTTTGGATCTTGCCTCCTATAACAACACAGAATTAAGAGATATGGATAAGTAAAGCCTTTATTCAGTGTTATCAAGATTTCATACTTAGAACACGGCCTGAAATTTTAATAAATACAGGGAATGTTCAGATTGTATTTTTTTAAAAGAGAGTGTCTCCCTCTGTCACCCAGGCTGGAGTGCAGGGACACGATAATGGCTCACTGTAGCATTGACCTCCTGGGCTGAAGTGATCCTCCCACCTCGGCCTCCTGAGTAGCTAGGACTACAGGCACATGCCATCATGACTAGCTAATTTTTACATTTTTTTTGTAGGGATGGGGTCTTGCTATGTTGCCCAAGCTGGTCTTGAACTCCTGGCCACAAGTGATACTCCCATCTTGACCTCCCAAAGTGCTGGGATTATAGGCTTGAGCCACTGTGCCTAGCCAATGTGTTTTCCAAGTACACTATGGACTCTGGTTTGCATGAGACTAATTCAGAACCACACCAAGTGTCATCTGTGAAATACTTGGTAGAAATAAAACCTTGCATGGTAAATTATGTACACAGTGAAATATGAATCAAATGTGAACTTTAAGGAGAAGCTATAACATCATCAAAACTTTGTATGTTTTAGTTTATATCATATATCCTTATGAATTAAAGAAATTATCCTAACTCACAAAGAAGCCTGGGTGATGTCCTCAGCATCCGAGAGGCAATCTCTAGATTCTTAAAATGTCATGCCTGAGGAGAGTATCTTTGTTTGCCCGGAGGTAGTAGGTCTAGTCGGTCACTCTAGACAGTGTAATAATCTGATTTAGAATTATGGGTGGCCCCACCTATGAGGAGAATGTGGTGCTCACTATGTGAGAAAGACCAACAGTGTGATTTATGGTGAGGTCATGTGGAATCAGTCAATCAGGAGACTGAGACTACTTTTATGGGAAAGCAATCAACCAATATTGGCTATGTAATTAACAAACAACAATCACTCTGAATACCAGGGGTCAGGAAAGCTTCCCTGATAGGCTTTCCTCCTGTCTAACCTCACACCTTAATCTTGGGGATATAATGCATCTTGATTCCACAGGGAGAGTACAATAAAAAGTTCTCATTGATACTTCCCTGAACTCTGTCTTACTTGATTTTTCTCGTAATTGTAATCTGTATTTTTCCCCTCTAAAAATGCATAACTTTAAGAATATGGAAAATGGGCCGGGCGTGGTGGCTCACACCTATAATCCCAGCACTTTGGGAGGCCGAGGCGGGTGGATCACAAGGTCAAGAGATCGAGACCATCCTGGTCAACATGGTGAAACCCCGTCTCTACTAAAAATACAAAAATTAGCTGGGCATGGTGGCACGTGCCTGTAATCCCAGCTACTCGGGAGGCTGAGGCAGGATTGCTTGAACCCAGGAGGCGGAGGTTGCGGTGAGCCGAGATCACGCCATTGCACTCCAGGCTGGGTAACAAGAGTGAAACTCCGTCTAAAAAAAAAAAAAGAGAATATGTAACATGAAGGCAATTTGAGGAAACCACTGAATTTGTCATTGGCATGAAGTGACAGCAGTCTTTAGTGAGCTGTCACTTTTAACTTTGTAGTTGGTTAAGCTCTTCACAATACTAAATATCAAATACCTAGGAGTATTTATGTCTATATATTCAGAGTATTCCTGCACAATAATTTTTACAGAACATGTATAGTTCATCTAATTTTGCTGGGCTGATATGAACAATAACTTGGTTATCTGAAATAGAAAAGTATCAGAAACCTTCGGTTTTTATGGGAATCTGAAAGGCTGGACCCAACAGAAATACACAAAGGGAGATGCCCCTGATGCGACAGTGAAAGTTGGTAAGATCACCTGGAATGAAAAGAACTAATGGGTCATGCCCTGGTTGGTTCCATGTGAAGTTATTGGAATGTCTCACTGAAAACAGACGGCAGAGCCGGATGCGGTGGCTCACACCTGTAATCCCAGCACTTTGGGAGGCTGAGGCAGGCGGATCACCTGAGGTCGGGAGTTTGAGACCAGCCTGACTAACATGGAGAAATCCCATCCCTACTGAAAATACAAAATTAGCTGGGCATGGTGGCCTGTAATCCCAGCTACTCAGGAGGCTGAGGCAGGAGAATTGCTTGAACTCAGGAGGTGGAGGTCGTGATGAACAGAGATCATGCCATTGCACTCCAGTCTGGGCAACAAGAGCGAGACTCCATCTCAAAAAAGAAAAAAGAAATAAAGAAAGAAAACAGATGGCAGAAAAAAGATTATGTAAAGAAATAGACCTTCATGTCTATTTTCTTTCTTTCTGTTTTTTTTTTTTTTTTTTTTTTAGACAGAGTCCAGCTCTGTCACCCACGCTGGAGTACAGTGGTGCGATCTTGGCTCACTGCAACCTCCGCCTCCCTGGTTCAAGTGATTCTCACACCTCAGCCTCCCAAGTAACTGGGACTACAGGTGTGTGCCACCACAGCTGGCTAACTTTTTGTATTTTCAGAAGAGATGTGGTTTCACTGTGTTACCCAGGATAGTCTTGATCTACTGACTTCGTGATCCACCTGTCTCGGCCTCCCAAAGTGCTAGGATTACAGGTGTGAGCCACCACTCCCAGCTTATACCCATTTTCCAAAATAAACACTACAGACTCTTAGTGAACTTTAAAATAAATCCAAAACCTTCTAAAAAGCATTTAGAAAAACCAGAATAGAAATTATAACAACATTGTGACAAACAGGCAAGGTGGCATTATATGAAATGTCTGCTAAAGGTACTCATACACATCTACAGGCACAAAAAATTTTCATACTGGATATGGTGAAATATATTTCGTACTATGGCTTATGCTCATAAAACATGGAAAATCTTGGTCAAGATATTACCACATTCTGAATTAACTAAATCAATCAAATGGAAAGTTAATTTTCAATAGCTGAATCTTAGGAAACATTAGTAAATTAGTATATACCTAGTGCTGCACATTAGTACACAGCTATACTAATAAATAAATAAATAAATAAATCCCTGATAAGAGATTTTTGAGAAGAAGGGGGAGTCTCTTTCAGGATGTTTATATTTTGAGAGGGCAGTTTCCTGATTCTTTCAAGGATATAAAGTTCACCAGTACAAAATACAGCACTATGTCTCCATACAAAGAAAAGGAAAATTGTATGAAATCTATATTCTTTAACATGTTTAACGATTACATTTGTAAAAAATAAAGATGCAGAAATCTATATCACATTATTAAACAAAGATGACTAGAAATATAGGCAACATTTGGGTGTGTGACTTATGTCACCCTTATCCACATTCTTTTCACTCTAGGAGAAGGACAGAGAAACCTGGGGTGGTGATGTGCGGAGACGGGAAGAGGTCAACTGGCTGCAGATGAGTAAGTCTCTCAAAGGAAGGGTAGCTGGAAAGCTGGTTATCATCTGAGACATCAGGAAATTGAAATTTTTCCCCTCGTATACAAGAGCTGTTTCAGAATTAGACATCAGAATCCTCATTTGAAAAGGGCTTTTTTTTTTTTTTTGAGACGGAGTTTCCCTCTTGTTAGCCAGGCTGGAGTGCAATGGCGAGATCTCAGCTCACAACCTCCGCCTCCTGGGTTCAAGCAATTCTCCTGCCTCAGCCTCCCGAGTAGCTGGGACTACAGGCACGCGCCACCATGCCCAGCTAATTTTTGTATTTTTAGTAGAGACGGGGTTTCACCTTGTTGACCAGGATGGTCTCGATCCCTTGACCTCGCGATCCACCTGCCTCAGCCTCCCAAAGTGCTGGGATTACAGGCGTGAGCCACCGCGCCTGGCCTGAAAAGGGTTTTTTCGGCCAGGCATGGTGGCTCACGCCTGTAATCCCAGCACTTTGGGAGGCTGAGGCAGATGGATCGCCTGAGGTCAGGAATTTGAGAATAACCTGGCCAACATGGTGAAACTCTGTCTCTACTAAACAAAAAAATTAGCTAGGCATAGTGGCACACACATGTAATTCCAGCTACTCGGGAGGCTGAGGCAGGAGAATTGCTTGAACCTGGGACACAGAGGCTGCAATGAGCAGAGATGGTGCCATTGCACTCTAGACTGTGTGACAGAGCATGACTCTGTCTCAAAAGAAAAAGATAAAAAAAGGTTTCTTTCCACAGATGAATATGCTCCCTACAAAAAGCTCCAAGACAAGATCATCATGGCAGACGGAAGGCAGGACTAGACTGCAGTACCGACTCATATGGACAGAATAGCGTACAGAGGCTCCCATTGTGAATTTTACCTCTAGATTGACTGCAAGAACAAACCAGCAATCCTAAGAGGTCACACAGACCCTCTGAAGGAAGCAGACTGCTCCTGCAGGACCCTGGAGACACCCCAAATACTGTGAATGTCCCAACTGTGGAAGTGAGAAAGAGCCTCTTGTCCTGAACACATAACCTCACTGGAGAAACTGAAGGTCTTTTTGTGGCATTAGTTTCTGACCTTAGCTGGAGTTTTAGTCAATTTAGAGAGCTGAGCAAGATACAGGGGTAGATGAAGCAGGAGAAAGGCATTGAGACCTTGTTGGGTCCCAAAGCAGGTCATTCTTGCCTGGCACCACAGGGATATATCAGGAGGGTGGCCAGCAGAGCAGGGCATGGGGAATTCCACAGGGAGAAAGAAGTATCCAGATGAACTCTGTAACAATTTGAATGGGGCAAGAAGCCTCCCGGCCAGAATCCAATGTGCAGACTCCATAGGCAGGGGAAGAACCAAGCCCTTTTCTTTTGCAGCTGAGAGGTGAGTAGCTTGGGGCAGGTTCTCAAGCCCAGCTTGCTCACCGCCTGGAAACAGACTCGAGGCTATTGGCGGGAGCATGGTGTGAGTGTGACCAGCCCTTTGGTTTGCATGGGAGCTGGGTGAGGCCTGTGACTGCCAGCTTTCCCCTACTTCCCTGACAACCTGCATGACTCAGCAGAAGCAGCCATAATCCTCCTAGGTACACAACTCTAGTGACCTGGGAACCTCACCTACCTCCCCAACAGCAGCTGCAGCAAGACCCACCCAAGGAGAGTTTGAGCTCAGATATGCCTAGCCCTCTCCCAACCTAATTAGGGCCTTCCCTATCCACCCTGGTAGCTGAAGACAAAGGGCATGTAATCTTGGGAGTTCTAGGGCCTTACCCACTGCTGATGCTCTCCATACTATGATAGCTGATGCTTTCCGGAAAGTGACACCTCCTGGCAGGAGGCCAACCAGCAGAAAAATAGAGCATTAAACCACCAAAGCTAAGAAACCTCACCAAGTCCATTGCACACCACTCCCCTAACCTGGCCACCTCCCCTGGAACAGGCTGAGAGACCCACAGACAGTTCACATTACAGGACTCTATGCAGACAGCCCCCAGTACCAGCCCAGAGCCAGGTGGACTTGCTGGGTGGCTAGACCCAAAAAGAGAAAACAATCACTGCAGTTCGGACAATACATCCATAGGAAAAGGGGAAGAGTACTACATCAAGGGAACATCACGTGGAACAGAAGAATCTTAACAACAGCCTTCAGCCCTAGACCTTTACTCAAATGAGAAGGAACCAGAAAACCAACTCCTGTAATATGACAAAACAAGGCACTTTAACATCCACCAAAAAAATCACACGAGTTTACCAGCAATGGATCCAAACCAAGAAGAAATCCCTGATTTACCTGAACAAAAATTCAGGTTAGTTATTAAGCTAATCAAGGAGGCATCAGAGAAAGATGAAGCCTAGTGCAAGGAAGAAAAAAAAAAAAAAAAAGGATAAAATAAGCGAAGGGAGAAATATTCAAGAAAATAGATAGCCTAAAGAAAAAACAATATAAAAAATTCAGAAAACATTGGACACAACTATAGAAATGCAAAATGCTCTAGAAAGTCTCGGCAATAGAATTGAACAAGTAGAAGAAAGAAATTCAGGGCCTGAAGACAAGTTCTTTAAATTAACCCAATCCAACAAAGACAAAGAAAAAATAATAGGAAAATATGAACAAAGCCTCCAAGGAGTCTGGGAGTACGTTAAATGACTAAACATAAGAACAATTAGTGTTCCTGAGGAAGAAGAGAATTCTAAAAGCTTGGAAAACATATTTGGGAAAATAATCAAGGAAAACTTCCCCAGCCTTGCTAGAGACCTAGACATCCAAATATAACAAGCACCAAGAACACCTGGGAAATTCATTGCAAAAAGATCGTTGCCTACACACATTGTCATCAAATTATCCAAAGTTAAGATGAAGGAAAGAATCTTAAGAGCTGTAAGACAGAAGCTCCAAGTAACCTATAAAGGAAAATCTATCAGATTAATAGCAGATTTCTCAATAGAAACCATACACACTAGAAGGGATTAGAGCCCTATCATCAGCCTTCTCAAACAAAACAATTATCAGGCAGGAATTTTGTATCCAGCAAAACTAAGCATCATATATGAAGGAAAGATAGCGTCTTTTTCAGACAAATGCTGAGAGATTTGCTACTACCAAGCCACCACTACAGGAACTGCTAAAAGGAGCTCTAAATCTTAAAACAAATCCTGGAAACACATCAAAACAGAACTTCTTTAAAGAATAAATCACACAGGACCTATAAAACAAAAATACATATTAAAAAGCAAAAACAAAAACACCAAAGTAGACAGGCAATAAATAGCAGGATGAATGCAACCGTACCTCACATCTCAATACTAACATTGAATGTAAATGGTCTAAATGATCCACTTAAAAGATACAGAACTGCAGAATGGATAAGAGCTCACCAACCAACCATCTGCTGCCTTTGGGAGACTCACCTAACATACAGGACTCATATAAACTTAAAGTAAAAGGGTGGAAAAGGCATTTCATGCAAATGGACACCAAAAGCAAGCAGGGGTAGCTCTTTGTATGTCAGCCAAAACAAACTTTAAAGCAACAGCACTTAAAAGAGACAAAGAAGGATATTATATACTGGTAAAAGGGCTTGTCCAACTGGAAAACATCACAATCCTAAGCATACATGCACCTAACACTGGAGCTCCCAAATTTATAAAACAGTTATTAACAGACCTAAGAGATGTGGTAGACAGCAACACAATAATAGTGGGGGACGTCAATCCTCCACTGATAGCACTAGACAGGTCATTAAGACAGAAAGTCAATAAAGAAACAAGGGATTTAGGGGAGAAATGCCAGATATAGGTGATGGGGAGGAAGGCAGAAAATCACACTGCCATGTGTGTACCTATGCAACAATCTTGCATGTTCTTCACATGAACCCCAAAATCTAAAATGCAATAATTAAAAAAAAGAAAGAAAGAAACAAGGGATTTAAACCATATCTTAAAACAAATGGATCTAACAGATATATACAGAACATTTCATCCAACAACCGCAGAATACACATTCTATTCAACAGCACATGGAACTTTCTCCAAGACAGACCATATGATCGGCCATAAAATGAGCCTCAATTAATTTAAGAAAATTGAAATATCAAGCACTCTCTCAGACCACAGTGGAATAAAACTGGAAATCAATTCCAACAGGAACCTTCAAAACCCTGCAAATACATGGAAATTAAATAGCCTGCTCCTGAATGAGCATTGGATAAAAAAACGAAATCAAGATGGAAATTAAAAAATTATTCAAACTGAACAACAATAATGACACAACCTATCAAAATCTCTGGGATACAGCTAAGGTGGTGTGAGAGGAAAGTTCATAGCCCTAAATGCCTACAACAAAAAGACTGAAAGAGCACACACTTCCATTCTAAGATCACACCTCAAGGAACTAGAGAAACAAGAACAAACCAAACCCAAACCCAGCAGAAGAAAGGAAAGAACCAAGATCAGAGCAGGACTAAATGAAATGGAAACAACGACAACAAAAAATAAAAATAAAAAAGATAGGCCGGGCACGGTGGCTCACGCCTATAATCCCAGCACTTTGGGAGGCCGAGGCAGGTGGATCACGAGGTCAAGAGATCGAGACCATCCTGGTCAACAAGGTGAAACCACATCTCTACTAAAAATACAAAAATTAGCTGGGCATGGTGGCGTGCGCCTATAGTCCCAGCTACTCGGGAGGCTGAGGCAGAAGAATTGCTTGAACCCAGACGGCGGAGGTTGCGGTGAGCCAAGATCATGCCATTGCACTCCAGTCTGGGTAACAACAGCGAAACTCCATCTCAAAAATAAAAAATAAAATAAAAAAATAAAAAAGATAAATGAAACAAAAAGCTGGTTATTTGAAAAGATAAATAAAATTGATAGGCCATTAGCAATATTAACCAAGAAAAGAAGCAAGATAATCAAATAACCTCATTAAGAAATGAAACAGCAAATATTACAATTGATACCACTGGAATACAAAAGATCATTCAAGGCTACTAGAAACACCTTTACACACATAAACTAGAGAAGCTGGAAGAGGTGGATACATTCCTGGAAAAATGCAATGCTCCTAGCTTAAGTCAGGAAGAATTAGATACTCTGAACAGACCAGTAACAAGCAGCGAGATTGAAATGGGAATTTAAAAATTATAAACAAAAAAAGTCCAGGACCACACAGATTCACAGGAGAATTCTACCAGATGTGACACTATTTCGCAAGATAGAAAAAGAAGGAAGCCAGCATCATTCTATGAAGCCAGCATCACCCTTAAACCAAAACCAGAAAAGGACATAACCAAAAAAGAAAACTAAAGACCAATATCCTTGATGATCACAGATGCTAAGATCCTTAACAAAATAGTAGCTAACCTAATCCAACAACATATCAAAAAGTTAATCCATCATGATCAGGTAGGTTTCATGCCAGGGATGCAGGGATGGTTTAACATACCCAAGTCAATAAATGTGATACACCACATAAACAGAATTAAAAATAAAAATCACATGATCATCTCAATAGATGCAGAAAAAGCATTCGACAAAATCCAGCATCGCTTTATGATTAAAACTCTCAGGAAAATCAGCATACAAGGGACATACCTCAATGTAATGAAAGCCATCGATGACAAACCTACAGCAGACATAATAATCATTGCCTCTGAGAAGTGGAACAAGACAAGGATGCCCACTCTTACCACTCCTCAACACAGTACTGGAAGTCCTAGCCAAAGCAATCAGACAAGAGAAAGAAATAAAGGGCATCCACTTTGGCCAGGCACGGTGGCTCATGCCTATAATCCCAGCACTTTGGGAGGCCCACACAGGTGGATCACCTGAGGTCAGGAGTTTGAGGCCAGCCTGTCCAACATAGTAAAACCCCGTCTCTACTAAAAATACAAAAATTAGCTGGGCATGGTGGCGCATGCCTGTAATCCCAGCTCTTGGAGGCTGAGGCAGGAGAATCACTTAAACCCAAGAGGCAGAGCTTACAGTGAGTAGAAATCATGCCACTGCACTCCAGCCTAGGCAACCAGAGCAAGACTCCATCTAAAGAAAAAAAAAGAAAGAAAGAAAGGGCATTCAAATCAGTAAAGAAGAAGTTAAACTGTCACTGGTTGCTGATGATATGACTGTCTACCTTAAAACCCAAAGACTCCTCCAGAAAGCTTCTAGAATTGATAAAAGAATTCAGCAAAGTTTCTGGATACAAGATTAATGTACACAAATCAGTAGCTCTTCTATACACTACCAGCAACCAAGCAGAGAATCAAATCAAGAACTCAACTCCTAATATAACAGCTGCAAACAAGAACAACAACAACAACAACAACTTAGGAATATGCCTAACCAAGGAGTCAAAAGACCTCTACAAGGAAAACTACAAAGCGCTACTGAAAGAAATCACAGAGACAAACATATGGAAACACATCCCATGCTCATAGATGGGTAGAATCAATATTGTGAAAATGACCATACTGCCAAAACCAAATTCAATCCCTATCAAAATATCACCATCATTCGTCACGGAATTAGAAAAAAAAAATCTAAAATTCATATGGAACCAAAAAAAGCCCGCATAACCAAAGCAAGACTAAGCAAAAACAAAAACAAATCTGGAGACATCACACTACCTGATTTCAAACTATACTATAAGACCATAGTCACCAAAACAGCGTGGTACTAGTATAAAAATAGGCACATAGATCAATGGAGCAGAATAGAGAATCCAGAAATAATCCCAAATACTTAAAGCCAACTGATCTTGGACAAAGCAAACAAAAACATAAAGTGGGGAAAGGATACCCTTTTCAACAAATGGTGCTGGGATAATTGGCTAGCCACATGTAGGAGAATGAAACTGGATCTTCATCTGTCACCTTACACAAAAATCAACTCAAGATGGATTAAGGACTCAAATCTAAGATCTGAAACTATAAAAATTATAGAAGCTAACATTGGAAAAACCCTTCTAGACCTTGGCTTAGGCAAGGATTTAATAATCAAGAACCCAAAAGCAAATGCAATAAAAACAAAGATAAAGAGTTTTGGGACCTAATTAAACTAAAAAGCTTTTGCATGGCAAAAGGATAATCAGGAGAGCAAACAGACAACCCACAGAGTGGGAGAAAATTTTCACAGTCTGTACATCTGATAAAGGACTAGTAACTAGAATCTACAATGAACTCAAATAAATCAGTAAGAAAAAAACAAAGAACCCCACCAAAAAGTGGGCCAAGAACATGAATAGAGAATTCTCAAAAGAACATATACAGATGGCCAACAGACACATAAACAAAAAGCTCAAAATCACTAATGATCAGGAAATGCAAATCAAAACCACAATGTGATACCACCTTACTCCTGCAAGAATGGCCATAATCAAAAAATCAAAAAACAGTAGATGCTGATGTGGATGTAGTGATGGGGGAACACTTCTACACTGCTGGTGGGAATGTAAACTAGTACAGTCAGTATGGGAAACAATGTGGAAATTCCTTAAAGAACTAGAAGTATAACTACCATTTGATCCAGCAATCCTACTACTGGGTGTCTATCCAGAGCAAAGAAGTCATTATATGAAAAACACAGCCAGAAAGTTGTGAGGAGAAAGAGTATTCTGGGCCGGGAAAGATGGCTCATGCTTGTAATCCCAGCACTTTGGGAGGCTGAGGTAGATGGATCACCTGAGGTCAGGAGTTCAAGACCAGCCTGGTCAACATGGTGAAACCCTGTCTCTACTAAAAATACAAAACAAACAAACAAAAAAAATTAGCTAGGGATGGGGGTGTGTGCGCCTGTAATCCCAGCTACTTTGGGAGACTGAAGCAGGAGAATCGCTTGAACCCAGGAGGTGGAGGTTGCAGTGAGTGGAGATCACGCCATTGCACTCCTGCCTAGGCAACAAGAGCAAAACTCTGTGTCAAAAAAAAAAAAAAAAAAAAGAGTATTCTGATCAGAGAGAAGAGCAAGTAAGGGCTCTGAGGCAGAAGCTTTAGCAGTAGACAGAGCAATGATTCATAAAAGATGCCCACATCCAGTCCCCAAGACCTATGAACATGTTATATTATACAGCAGGGGGGACACGGGTTGCAGATGCAATTAAGGCCACTAGTCAGCTAACCAGAAAGTGAGAAGGTCATTGTGGATCATCCAGGGGTAACCAGTACAATCACGAGGAACCTGAAAGGCAGGAACAGAGGCATAAGAAGAGTGGCAGAGTGAGCCTGACTATGGAAGAAGGGTCAGAAATGCAAACTAACTGCCTTAGAAGATGGAGGAAGGAAAACAAGAGCCATGGAGTGTGGACAGTGCCTAGAGACTGCTAAAGGAGTGTGGACAGCCACGGAGTGTGGACAGTGCCTAGAGACTGCTAAAGGAGTGTGGACAGCCACGGAGTGTGGACAGTGCCTAGAGACTGCTAAAGGAGTGTGGACAGCCACGGAGTGTGGACAGTGCCTAGAGACTGCTAAAGCAAAGTAAAGGTTTACCCCTAAGAGCATCCGCAAAGAAACAAAGCCCTACAGACACCTTGATAATTGCCCAGTGAGATGTGTCAGACTTCAGGACCAAAGAACAGAAAGATAGTAAGTGTTTGTCGTTTAGTCCCCTAAATGTGTGGTCATTGGTTACTACAACAGTGTCCTTGGCAGGTCAGAGAAACAGCAGGGAGGACAATGTGGCTGGAAAGACAGGACAAGAAGGAGAGGACAGGAAATGTCGTCAGAGAGGCGGTGGGGGATGAACAGATCACATGGTCTCTAAAAGGCACTTAAAACTATTGTGACATAAGTAAACATAAGAAGCCAGAAAGGCTTTAGAGCCAAGGAATGGCTCTAAATGACTTAGATTTTCCAAGGACCACTTTGGCTGCCATGAGGAAAACAGATGTCAGGGTAGGAAAAGTGGGAGCAGGGCAAAAAGCCAAAAGTCAGCTGTAAAAATCCAGGAAGAAGGGTTGGCCATTTAGACCAGAGCAACAGAGTTGGGCAACAGACAGAAGCAAAACAGACAGGAGAGTCACGTACAAGGACACACAAGTGCTTGCTTCTTACCTAAATTCCCTTCTTTTTGGGTTGCTGTCTCCACCATCCAGAACTTTTCTTCCCTGGGGAAGTGGAAAGTATCTCCATGGAATGGTTGATGCCCTGTGAACATGCAAAGTTGTATGCTTAATGCCAACATATCCTAGGGAAAAAAATCTAGGTAAAATTTACTCGAAACTTAGGTTCCTAATGCATACCCAAACTTGAACACTCTAGGATACAAAACCACTCCTGGGCCTGACACCCCCTTACAAAGGGTGCCTGTCCTCACCCACTGAGAGCAGGTTTCTGAAATTCTCCAGCATCACATCTTGGTACAGCTTCTTCTGGGCAGGGTCCAGCAATTGCAGCTCCTCCTCGGTGAAGACCACAGCCACATCCTTGAAAGTCACTGTCTCCTACAGCATCAAACATACGCAACTTCAAACTCATGGCCAATGACTACTGAGAGAGGGGTGGCACTGAGCGGAGGGGAAGGACAAGAAGCTGTTTTGAATCTTAAGAGACATAGGTCAACGTACAGATTTCCTTTTTTTTTTTTTTTTTTTTGAGACAGAATCTTGCTCCATTGCCCTACTCGAGTGCAGTGGCGTGATCTTGGCTCATTGCAACCTCCACCTCTAGGGTTCAAGTGATCCTCCCACCTCAGCCTCCCAAGTAGCTGGGATTACAGTTGCCTGCTACCATGCCTGGTTAATTTTTGTATTTTTAGTAGAGATGGGATTTCACCACATTGGCTAGGCTGGTCATGAACTCCTGACCTCAGGTGATCCACCTGCCTTGGCCTCCCAAAGTGCTGAGATTATAGGCATGAGTGACTCCGCCTGGCCAACTCATAGATTTCCTACTAATTCTGTCTGTATCCTGACAATGACTGATTTTCCTGAGCTCCACCAGAAATGCAATGATGGAAAAGACCTCCTGTAGCTTTACGTTGTATACTTACTCACTCTCCTTTTAAGTAACCCTTTAGAACTCTAAATGCAGCATCCTGGGCTACACGTACATAGGTTTCAATGAATCTTGCCAATTGCAACAGCAACATGTAGCATTTCAGTCCCAGTCTTGTTTGATAATTTCTATTGTTCTCTCTTATACTTGAACCCTGAATGTTATCATTTTTCTTTAATATCTGCCACCAAACTAAGAAGTTTGTGGTAACCTATGTGGAACAGCTATGCAGTACATCTTCTGTACTCTCAAGGCATAAACTATATACATTAATTGCAGCACTGAATGACATGATCTGCAGCCAGTGTGCCTAAGAGCACATCCCAAGGCTCTGTACCTTCCTGGTCACATGACCTTGAACCAGTTCACCTATTTATTCCCTCTCTTTAATAATTCTCATATTACAGTTTTTTCAGTGATTAAACAAGGAAACATATGGAGCATTGGAAAAGTTGATCTGTACAGACTAAATACCTAATAAGCATTAGTTTTCAAAAATTATTATCATCATTGTTGCCATCTATTTTACCTCATTTCATAACTGCATAGTATTCCAAAGAATTGATAATCTATTTTTAAACATACTTTAATTTTACATATGCTCATTAATACCAATCCTGTAAAAAAAGAACAGTTGAGGTAAATTTTACTCCTGTTTGACTATTTAAAATAATATTAAATGAAAATTAAAATGTCAATAAATAGGTATGTTTAAAATTGTGATCATATAATATCAGATCTCAATTTTTTATCAAACTCTAATCTTTCAAGAGGATACATGTATACTGATTTGTCTTACCATAACCAAGAGCAGGTTATCAAATTTCTCATGATTTTGGTAATCATATTAGGAAAAATTTAACAGTCTCACCTATTTGATTATAAATAATACCATCACCTTTCTTTTTTTTTTTTTTTTTTTTTTGAGACAGAGTTTTGCTGTTGTTACCCAGACTGGAGTGCAATGGCACGATCTTGGCTCACCGCAACCTCCGCCTCCTGGGTTCAAGCAATTCTCCTGCCTCAGCCTCCCGAGTAGCTGGGACTACAGGCGTGCACCACCATGCCCAGCTAATTTTTGTATTTTTAGTAGAGACAGGGTTTCACCTTGTTGACCAGGATGGTCTTGATCTCTTGACCTCGTGATCCACCCGCCTCAGCCTCCCAAAGTGCTGGGATTATAGGCGTGAGCCACGACGCCCAGCCCACCATCACCTTTTCAAACATTTATTGGCCATCTCAATTTCTCCTTTTAAGTTTGCCTGTCCTTTATTCATATTCCTTTGGACTTTTTTTCTATTCTGTATATAAGATTCTTATTTTGGATTTTGTCTTTTTCAGATATATAAGCAGTGAATATTTTTACTCTAGGCTGTTACATTTTCTGGTAACATTGTGTGAGGTATCCTTTACCATTCTGAATGTAAAGACTTTCTATAATGACTACGGTTATCACTGTCCTTGGGTGCCTGGAGCACTGGGTGCAACTGAGAAGGTATCAAGTCAGGAAGAAAGAAGGTCACACTGAAATGGGGCCTGGAGCAGTGCCACCTGTGGACACTGGCTCTCGGGTTGGCACAACACAACAGGCTATAACTACTTAACTGCTTTTTCACGCAATGATTATTGGAGGTGTTCAAACAGGAAGACCTAGATTCTGTTTCTCCCATGCCATATCTCTGTTGTTCTCCCTAAGTCTTCCCAAGACTGAGAAAAACATGTGAGAATATGAGTAATGAGATGAAATAGAGCCGGGCACAGTGGCTCACACCTGCAATCCCAGCACTCTGGGAGGCTGAGGCAGGCAGATCATCTGAGATCAGGAGTTTGAGACCAGCCTGGCCAAATGGTGAAACCCCATCTCTACTAAAATTATAAAAATTAGCCAGGTATGGTGGTGTGTGCCTGTAGTCCCAGCCACCTGGGAGGCTGAGGCAGGAGCATCACCTGAACCCCAGAGGCAGAGGTTGTAATGAGCTGAAATCAGGCCACTGCACTCCAACCTCAGCAACAAAGCAAGACTTCGTCTGAAAAGAAAAAAAGAAATTTTAACAGCAAGAGAGGCAAGCTCTACTCACCTTCAACGTGGTCATTTTTCCTCCTATTTCAGGGAATATGCAGAGTCCTGAGTGATGCAGTCTGAGGGAAAGCAGAATCCTGCCTCAAAAGTACCAGGGAAGGCAGAAAAAGAGACATGAAAGTGTGGCCAGGGATGCCATCCGCCAACACAAATGTGTGTTGTAAATTAACACATGTTCATAACAGCATTATTCATAGTAGTCCAAAACTGTACACAAACAAACCCTCCTTTGCATACATCAATAGACACACTGTGGCCCATTCATAGAATGGAATCTTATTTGGAAATTCAAAAGGATGAAGTACTGACTCATGCTACAACACGTATGAACTTCGGAAACATGATGCTATGTGGAAGAAGCCAGTCACATAGGAAGACCCACATACTGCATGATCCTATTTCTGTGAAATTCCAGAGTAGGCAAGTGTACACAATGAGAAAGTAGGTAGGTGGTCTCTGCATATTTGAGGTGAGAAAGAGGATTAACTAGAAATGAATGGGTACAAGGAGACTTAATGGGGAATGAAAATGATTTAAACTGAATTATGGTGATGTTTATTCCATTCTCAAAGTTCCCAAAAATCATTAAAATGTACACACGAAATGGGCAGACTCTATGATACATAGAATACACCTCAATAAAGTTGGACAAGGTATTGGTAATTGGTTTTTTTTTTTATTTTTTTTGAGATGGAGTTTTGCTCTTGTTTATTTTTTTTGAGACGGAGTGCAATGGCACAATCTTGGCTCACCGCAACCTCTGCCCCCTGGGTTCAGGCAATTCTCCTGCCTCAGCCTCCTGAGTAGCTGAGATTACAGGCACGTGCCACCGTGCCCAGCTAATTTTTTGTATTTTTAGTAGAGATGGGGTTTCACCTTGTTGACCAGGATGGTCTCGATCTCTTGACCTCGTGATTCACCTGCCTCGGCCTCCCGAAGTGCTGGGATTACAGGTGTGAGCCACCGCGCCCGGCCAGTATTGGTAATTGTTAATCCACATGCCATTTAACTTAATAAGACTGGATTCTGAATCTACACTGATAGAATATTTATAGTTGAATGAATGAATGAATATACAAATGAAAGAGGAGGGGAAGCTCACCTTTATAGTAGAATACCCACTAATAAACTTATTTCTCCATAAAAAAATGTATTTAACTAAAAGATTAGGAAGTGTATCTTGAGAGCAACTTGAATCTGTGTTCCTGGGGTAAAAAAAAAAAAATTCAAAATAACTTTACAATGCAGAAATCTGAGAAACTTGACTTTGGCCAAGTGAACAAAGTTAAGATCACCAATGAAGTGACAAACTGACAAATGGCCCCTGTTATGTTGCAATAAGAAATTTACTCCTTCGGGCTGGCCGAGTTGGCTCATGTCTGTAATGCCAGCACTTTGGGAGGCCAATGCGGGTGGATCACCTGAGGTTAGGAGTTTGAAATCAGTGTGACCAACATGGTGAAACCCTATCTCTACCAAAAATATAAAAACTAGCTGGTCATGGTGACAGGTACCTATAATCCCAGCCACTTGGGAGGCTGAGGCAGGAGAATAGCTCGAACCCAGAAGGTGGAGGTTGCAGTGAACCAAGATCGTGCCATACACTCCAACCTGGGCGACAAGAGTGAAAGTCTGTCTCAAAAAGAAAAGAAAAGAAATTTACCACTTCTGTGGTATTCCCGCAAAAATGCATACTTTGAAGCTAAACATGAAATACATCAGAACAACTCCAAGTGAACATCTTTGACCAAAATAACTTCATCTATATGCTTCAAAAAATAACAAGGACAAAACATCAAGAATAAAAAAGATGAAAACTATGCTATCTTTCAAGATTAAAGGAGACTAGAAAAACCTGACAACTGAAAGCAAGGCATGAAATTGGACTTTGAATGGGGTGAGGGGTGAAGTATAGGGAGTGGGATAGGTACAGTTAAAAGAGCTTCAATTAAAAAGAAGAACACAATTAAATCTGGAACTGTAGATTAGATGACATTTTATCTAATATATTTTCTAGTATTAATAGACGCCACAATTAGCTATTGGTAGTAGTTTTTAGTAGGTATATAATATAGATAACACTATTATGTAGTATAATATCTAATGTTGTATAGTATTTTACGTGACACCCTATAACCAGCACTTCCTAAGCGCCTCTTACCAAGACAGCCCGTGATTACCCTGGTATGTGGGCTTCCCTGCTGCAGAAAGTTAGAGTCAGCTGTCTCTGATTACAGGTCTGTTCTTGGTAGTATTTTGCTGATGCGCGTCAAACCAAATGGCAAAATTGGGTAAAGAGTAAATGAAAGCTTCTAATATTACATGATTTTTGCCACTTTTCTATAGGCTTCAAATGATATGAAAATAAAGTGTTAAAATATCAGTAAGCATTAATAGGAATAATAATAATGGATGAACATGACATCATATGGCAGTTTCACTAGTTATTTCTCTCTCGATGGTATTTGGAAATGTCCATAGTTAAATACTTAAGAGAGAACATTTTAAAATATTTTAAAATAATGTTAAAATATTTATAAATAACTATACAAGTATACACAAAGGAAGACGAAGAAGAAATACATTAGAAGCTGAACAGTTACTTTTTTTTTGAGATGGAGTCTCACTCTGTCGCCTAGGCTGGAGTGCAATGGTGCCATCTCTGCTCACTGCAACTTCCGCCTCCCGGGTTTAAGCAATTCTCTTGCCTCACCCTCCTGGGTAACTAGGACTACAGGCGCATGCCATCATGCCCGGCTAATTTTTTGTACTTTTAGTACAGACGGGGTTTCACCGTGTGAGCCAGGATGGTCTCGATATCCTGACCTCGTGATCCGCCTGCCTTGGCCTCTCAAAGTGCTGGGATAACAGGTGTGAGCCACTGTGAGCGGCTTTTTTTTTTTTTTTGAGACGAAGTCTTGCTCTTCTGCCCAGGATAGAGTGTAGTGGCACGATCTTGGCTCACTACAACCTCCGCCTCCCGGGTTCAAGCAATTGTCCTGCCTCAGCCTCCCGAATAGCTGGGACTGCAGGTGCTAATTTTTATGTTTTTAGTAAAGACAAGGTTTAACCATCTTGGCCAGTCTGGTCTCGAACTCCTAACCTTGTGATCCACCCGCCTCGGCCTCCCAAAGTGTTAGGATTACAGGCATCAGCCATCGCGCCTGTCCCAACAGTTACTATTTCAAAATATTGGACTCATGGGTAATTAAAATGTTTTTTTCTAGTCATAGCAGTTCTCTAATTTCTGAGTGCTTCACAACGATCTGGATCTATAACAACGATACATATTTGTAATAAGTGAGACAAAATGGTTGACAAAACTTTTAAAAACTCAAAGAAAAGTCCAAGCCCAATAAGCCTTGCTCTTCCGGTCCCTTCAATCAAGTCCTAACTTGCTTTCCCCATTGAGTCCAGCTCATTGTCTCAACGAAAACATACCCAAGAGATGATCAACTCATAATCTGACCCAGGCTGCCTAAGTTCCAACTCCAGCTCCAGCTCTCAGAAGCTGGTGCTTATGCGCCATGTGTCTCTCACTCCCATCTTTAAAATAGAGAAAAGCAGTGCCTTTCCACAGTGCCAAGTAAGTGGTGTAATGTACTTTTTTGCATAAAGCTCTTAGAATGAAGTTACCAATTCAGTCTCACTTATTATCAACACCCATGCCCAAGGACACATCCTATACACTCGGTTGAGGTGAGCCTCTCTATCAAAGAAAAGAGCCAAAAGGCCACTCACGTAGAGCTTTGCCCTCAGGAGCCAAGAAGTCCCTCCCTGCAGCTCTTTTGGAAAGATCGGGCTGGGGAAGGAGAAGGCTGTGAAACACCCTGACCGCGTCGCTGTCCCCCATAAGAGTTAAATGCTCCTCTCCCTTTCTGGGTCGACGCAACACCCGCCTTCCTAAAAAGGAGGTCAGGAGGCGTCCAGGATCACCCAGCGTCCTGCGGGGATCAGGGAGGGAGAAGGGCCGGTGCCCCTGCAGCTGGAGCTCTGACCCCACCCAGGGACCTGACAGGCTTCGTGGGAAATCAACAACAGACCACCAGTCACCAAGTAACAGGGACTGATTTAAGGCTTTCATTTGTGTTACCTCTTCCAGTTCCCAAAACGATTCTATTAGGATGGTCCTAAAGTCCCCATTCTAAAGAACAGTAACGGGAGACCCAAGGATATTAAGTAACACCCCAACGTTATACTGTGAGGAACTGGCCACGCGCGTGGGGTGCAAGGAGGCGGAGTGGGCAGCTCAGAGCCCTGGAAACCCTGAAACCAGGCGAGACGCGACCCGACCAAGTCCCAAACACCACGGGGACGCGAGGACAGCCCAAAGCCCAAGAAAGCTCCACTGACGAGAACGTAAACAGCGGCCCTCACCCTTCAAACCTCTGCTCTCCGACGAAGTTTTTTTTTTTTTTTTTTTTCCTAATTCGATCACCAGTTCGTTGAGGATCCAAAGCGTAGGTTCAGGAAATTCAGAAGGGTCCCGCGGAACTGACCCGAACTACCAGGGACAAAACTGCAGCAACCTCACAGTCCCGGAGCAGAAGCCCACAACTCCACTGAGTGTTTGGACTCTACGTCCCAGAATTCCCGAGCCAAAGTGACCCTGACAACCCCGAGCGCGTGGACTATATTTCCCAGAATTCCTTAGGATCCGCCTGCCCACTGACCGCTACTCCACTGAGCGTCTGGACTACATTTCCCAGAAATCCTCAGCTTCACCTGCGGAGCCAAACTGACCGCTACCCCACTGCGAGTCTGGACTACCATTCCCAGAATTGCCTGTATCCTCCTCCGGGAGTCAGTGTCTGCGACTCCACCGAGCTATGGATTACACTCCTCCGATTCCTGGAGGAAAAACGCTTAAATTCTCAGTCTTCAGGGGGAAGCGTTGCCACTCCGGGTGCCCACGGGGAACAAATCTCATAGCCACGAACTCCTGGTGGAGAATGGGAACTGTTATTCTGAAAGTCGTCCTTCTCTCTCTCTGGTTCAGGACAAAAAATATTGAATAGACAGGAATTCCTGGAGTCTAAACGCCTCCAATGATTACAGGAGTGTTAATTGGAAAAGGAACAAGCCAGAAGACACAATCTTCGAGGAGTTAAGTTTTGCTAATCTAATAGTAAGAAATGGTATTTAAATGTAGTTTTAATTTGTATTTGTTCTTTTGTAAATAAAGTGAAACATCCTTGCATATTTTCCGTGGCCATTATTATAGTCTGTGAATTGGTCAAATCTTTTGCCCACATTTCTGTTGAGTTTTTAGTCTTTTTCCTTCCATTGAGTATTATTTACATATTCATATTAACATTATATCTCAAATATTGCTCAACCAAAAAGCTTTTTTTCTTTGACTTCTATTTTTCGCTATGCAAAACGTTTTTTAACGCAGTCGTTTTGTTATTGAAAAAACATTTTTGAGGTATAATTCACAAAACAAAATTATTTTAAAGCATATAATTCAACGGCAATGACATCTAGTGCAACAGTATTGTTGATAAAGGAGTAAAGAAGAAATCACTAAGAAATGCCTTTACTTAGGCGGATAGTAAAGGCATGGGAGCCCTCGATAAGGCTTTTCTTTTTAATGAAAAGCACCCCAAATTATTTTCCTTCCTAAGGAAGAGCAGCCTGTAAAATCGAGCTGCAGACAGACATAAATACCAGCAGTTGTACCAATCATGTTCAAGATGGCGGCTCTATCCTCCCTTCTCTTTGTCAGCCACGTGAGCAGTAAGGAGCAGACCAGAAGGGCAAATCAACGGGGAAGTTCATTTGTATAAGAAGATTAGGGTGGGGCAACCAGCCTTTCCCAGGCACTGTGTAAACGTCATACCTGATGGATCCAGTCTATGAGCCCTATGTAAATCAGACACTGCCTCCTCAAAGTGGACTGTAAAACTGAGCACATTCGCTGCTGGCCGACCCTCTTCAGATCAGAAACCTCTTTCTCTTCCCCCTTTTAAACCTCTGCTCCTAAACGCCTCATGTGTGTCTGTGTCCTAAATTTTCCTGGCACATGACTACGAACCCCGGGTTCAAACCCCAGACAGTGTAGCTGCTTCATTGTGAAATCAACACCTCTTGAATTCAAAACACTTTTATCACCCAAAGAAAACCCCACGCCCACGAAGCAATCACTACCGTTGTCCATAATCCCAATCCTGGGCAAACATTAATCTCTCTTTTCTATTACCTATTTTGGACAAATCATAAAAATGAATGGAACCTTTTGTTTCTAACTCCCTTTGCTTAGCAGAATATTTTTAATGCTATTCACATCATACCACGAATCAGTACTTCATTCCTTTTCATAGATGAATAATATGTTTATACAATTTGTTTCTCCATTCGTGCATTGATGGGCATTTGCCTTCTTTTCACCTTTTGGCTGTAGTCAACAGTCTTGCTACAAATGTTCGTGTACATGTATTTGTTTCACTACCAGCTTTCAGTTCTTTTTTTCTTTTTTGAGATAAGAGTCTTGCTCTGTCGCCAAGGCTGGAGTGCAATGGCGTGGTCTCACCTCCCTGCAACCTCTGCCTCCCAGGTTCAAGCAATTCTCTTGCCTCAGCCTCCCAAGTAGCTGGGACTACAAGCACGTGTCACTACCCCTGGCTAATTTTTGAATTTTTAGTAGAGACAGGGTTTCCCTTTGTTGGCTAGGCTGGTCTTGAACTCCTGACCTCGTGATCTGCCCACCTCGGCTTCCCAAAGTTCTGGGATTACAGGCCTGAGCCACTGCGCGGCCAGTTTTCCATTCTTTTGGGTACATAACTAGATAGGAAACTAGTGATTCATATGTTAGTTGTACATTAATTTTTGGAGGGAATTATGAAACAATTTTCCATAGCAACTGCCCCATTTTATGTTCCCATCTTTAACGTGTATGGGTTGTAATTTCTCTACACACTATCCAATATTATTTTCTATTTTAAAAAATGATTGTTAGCATAGTGATTGCAAAGTGGCATCTAGTTCTTTGATTTGCATTTTCTTGATGACTAATAATGTTGAGCATCTTTTCACATAATCGTTGGTCACTTGCGTATCTGAAACATCTGTTTCTAAATTTATAAACTGGGTGCTTCTCTACTTGTTATTGACTTGGAAGGTTTCTTTATATATTCTGGATACTAGAACCCATACTTTATGGCATTTTCATGTTCTCAACGATGTCCATTTATATGTAATTTTTTTAACTGTAGTCCAATTTATGTAACTTTTTTCTTTTTTAGCTTGTGCTTATGTTGTCTTACCTAAGAATCCATTCCAAACGAAGTATTGAAGATTAACCCATTTTCTAAGAATTTTGTAGCTTAAGTTCTCACATTTAGGTTATTTATCCATTTAATTTTTAAGTATAGTGTGAGGTGGGGCTCTAATTTCATTGTGTTGCATATGTATGTACAGTTGTTCCAGTACTCTTTGCTAAAGACTGTTCTTTCTCCATTAAGCAATATTGGATCCTTCTTGAAAATCAGATGACCTTAGATATATGAGTTTCTTTATGGACCAACAAAGATATTCCATTAGTCTGTGTATCTTTTCTTAGGCTTGTACCACATGACTTTAATTACTACAACTTGGTAATAAATTTTTAAATTGGGACGTGTGAATCATCTTTTATGTTCATCATTTTCAAGATTTTTTTTGTCTATTTGGGGTCAGTGCAGTCATATATGAATTAGGAGTACTGGCTTTTCTTTTTCTACAAAAAGACTTGGAATTTTGACAGGGATTCCACTAAAACTGTACATTGCTTTGGACAGTATTGTCATCTTTACAATGTGAGGTCTTCCAATTTGTGAACTCCTAGACAACAGGTGAATTCAGCATGATCATAGGATACATAATAGGATACATGATCCATACACCAAATTTGATAACCCAGGCGCACAGAAGGGTACATATAAGCCCTATCTGATGTCTTTTTAGTGATAATAAACAGGAATTTTTTGCCCAATGTTTTCTGGGACAAAAAGATTGTTTTGGACATGAGCTATTCTGGTATCTGGTGATGCATAAAAAACAAAAGTTAAACAACAGTCCTAGCCGTCTGATGCCGTGTGCGCAGAAACACTGTGGCAAGCCTGAGGTTGTTAACTACAACAGTCCTAGCCGTCTGATGCCACGTGCGCAGAAACACTGTGGCAAGCCTGAGGTTGTTAACTACAACAGTCCTAGCCGTCTGATGCCATGTGCGCAGAAACACTGTGGCAAGCCTGAGGTTGTTAACTACAACAGTCCTAGCCGTCTGATGCCATGTGCGCAGAAACACTGTGGCAAGCCTGAGGTTGTTAACTACAACAGTCCTAGCCGTCTGATACCACGTGCGCAGAAACACTGTGGCAAGCCTGAGGTTGTTAACTACAACAGTCCTAGCCGTCTGATGCCATGTGCGCAGAAACACTGTGGCAAGCCTGAGAGCCGTCTGATGCCATGTGCGCAGAAACACTGTGGCAAGCCTGAGGTTGTTAACTAGAAAGGACTACGCATGGCTGGCCTGTGGCTGTTGTCAGGAATTATGGACTTTGAGAAGGTTGCCACCATCCACTAACTGTAAGAGTGGTTCACCATGCCTAAATTGTACAAGGTAATTTATTCCATGTATTTGGTTTCCTTGGAGTCTGGAATCTTGGTATATGCTAGGGCAGATAATACCTACCATGATCATTCCCAATAAGAACTTTAGATACAGGTTACGAAGAGCTTCCATTATAGACCTTTCATAAGTACTATCACAATTCAATGCTGGAGGACTTGAGTGACTGCTATGGGATACCAGGCAGAGAGGGGATCTTGCAAATTTGCACCTGGTTTTCTCAGATGTTGCCCGTGAGTCTTTTTCCTTTACAAATTCTGCTTTGTATTCTATCACTGTAATATAGTCATAAATACAACTAATATTCTGAGTCCTCTTAGCAAATCACAGAACCTAGAGATGTTCTTAGGGACCTCCAACCTACTATACAAATTGAGAAAGCATGGATTTTTTTTTTCTTTTTCAAGATCTATAGCTTTTCCAAGAAAGCATGGATCTTAATAAGTACCTCACATCCTGAGAAAATCTAGTTTACAAAATTAACTATATTAATCAAATGTATCTAACACTTTGCTGAAGAAAGCCTTTAACTTAACACACTTAAGATATTACTATGGTGTGTACCTGATTACTTAGCATCTGACAATAGTTTGAATATTTATCCCCTCCAAATCTCATGTTGAAATGATGACCTACAGTGTTGGAGGTGGGCCTATTGGAAGGTGTTTGGGTCATGAAGGCAGATCCTTCATGAACATTGGTGTCCCCACCATGGTTCAATGAGTGAGTGAATAGACACTCTATTTAAACTCACACAATAGCTGGTTGTTTAAAAGATCAAGTTACCCCTCTCCCTCTCTTGCCATGTTACATACCTACTCCAATTTCACCTTCTCCCATGAGTAAAAGCTTCCCAAGGCCCTTCCAGAAGCTGAGCAGATGCCGGTGCCATGTTTCTTGTAAAGCCTATAGAATGGTGTAACAAATAAATCTCTTTTTATTTTAATTTAATTTTTTTATTTTTTGAGACAGAGTTTTGCTCGTTACCCAGGCTGGAGTGCAATGGCGCGATCTCGGCTCACCACAACCTCCGCCTCCTGGGTTCAAGCAGTTCTCCTGCCTCAGCCTCCTGAGTAGCTGGGATTACAGGCACATGCCACCATGCCCAGCTAATTTTTTGTATTTTTAGTAGAGACAGGGTTTCACCATGTTGACCAAGATGGTCTCGATCTCTTGACCTCGTGATCCACCCACCTCGGCCTCCCAAAGTGCTGGGATTACAGGCTTGAGCCACCGCACCCAGCCAAACCTCTTTTTAAATTGCCCAGTCTCAGGTATTCCTTTATAGCAGTGCAAAATGGATTAATACAACATTCAAACGAGCTTTGTCCTAACTAGTTCCACACCCTTTGGAGCTCTGCCATTGTCATGCTACGTTCCCTGTCCATACACATCTATTCTCTAGAGTGCTTTTTTTTAACCTCTGCAACATATGTATACCTACTTTATTTCAATTTCTATGACTTATGCCTAAAGAAGCAACATGTGCATTCATTATGGCAGTTTACCACTCTCATCAATGTATCTGTATTCGAAATCCCAGATAATTTTTGTTTTAAAATATGACTTCCACAGTCTTATTCCGTAATTTTGAACTTATGTCACATGACAATGTAGAGCAATCTTACTCAGTCTTTATAAGTAAGTGATTAACATGAATATGTTTTCAAATTTTATTGCACACAATTTACTGCTTTGGTAAACCTGATTTTCACTGAGACACGATTTTATGTATCCCTAACTATTAAAAACAAAAAAATTAAAAATTCATGGAAATATAAAATGGTGCAAATATTCATTGCCAGCAAAGATCAGTAAAAATATTCATTCACATAGTTTGTATGTAAACACTCAAAAGAACATAAACACACAGATATTTGACTACATTATGAAGGCTAAAAAAACATTGTTTTTCTCCTTTTATGTCTATGTGATCATCTCACTGATTTCATGTTATTATAAAAATAAATGCTATTCACATAAATTCCTGAACACTTGTTCTTTTCATTTTAAAATGGAGTGACATCATCAATGTGGTCTTCTACTTTTTGGAGTTTGTCACAGTCATAACTTCCTGTCCTATGGTTTTCATATCAAACAGCTGCACCTTATAATTGACATGTTCTGCTCTACAATGGACACATTTTCATTGCCAGCAATAAAGAAGAAGATTTGAATGTTAATCCTGCCCCCCAATAATGAATATATTTGAAGAAACTACCAAACTCCATTAAGTTTCTCTTCCTGTATGTATCATAGGGTTGATAGAAAAATATTGGATAAGAAGGTTGACAAGATCGGGCGCAGGGGCTCAAGCCTGTAATCCCAGCACTTTGGGAGGCCAAGGCGGGTGGATCATGAAGTCAAGAGATCGAAACCATCCTGGTCAACATGGTGAAACCCTGTCTCTACTAAAAATACAAAAAATTAGCTGGGCACGGTGGCGCGTGCCTGTAATCCCAGCTACTCAGGAGGCTGAGGCAGGAGAATTGCCTGGACCCAGGAGGTGGAGGTTGCAGTGAGCTGAGATTGCACCATTGCATTCCAGCCTGGGTAACAAGAGCGAAACTCCGTCCCAAAAAAAAAAAAGAAGGTTGACAAAAGCTGTCCTTCTTATGTAGAATATTTTGTACCAGAGAAGTTAAAAAAAAAAAAATTGTACAGCAATTAAAAGGTAATCATACCAAGGCCTCATGATCACAAATATGATCAATCTAGGATTGACTAAGAAAATTTGTCAATGTCCATCCGACACTTTTAAAGTGTTACTGTAAATCTTGTCTTAATACTGTTGAAAACATTTAATTATAAAATATGCAGTAGTCTATTACTGTAAAAGTAACCCAACCTTTTCAGTCTATACTGTGAGAAAAGCTACAAAAGATAAATTTATATCATATACAAGCAATGAACATTTGATAGAGCCACAGATAATAATCCAATTTCAGAACACAGGATGTGGGGAAGCCAGGAGCCAAGTGCAATAAAATGATATTCAATGAATATGATAACTGATCAAGAAAAAAATAATAATATTCAAAATAATGCTATGGATCGCAGTACTGAGTTTACTCCGCATTTCAACTCATGTTTCCCAGAATTATGTTTTCCAGACTTCCCTGTTTGGATGCATAAAATTGCATCCAAATCCATACATATGTTTTTTCCTTTGATTGATTTAACAAACAAGCACTGAACACATACAAAGTGCTAATCAGTGTTCCAGCTGTGACAATTTAGCAGCAAAGACAGACACAGGTAGCTTACATTCTAGTGGACATCAATTTTGAGATGTCCACCATTACAGTGGTAAATTCATGAACTCTTACTCTTTCTAAGTCCTGTCTCCTGAATGATAGCTGTAACTATCAAACTTCTGAATGAAGCTTTATTGCACCATTTACAAAGATTCTCTATGGTGGTCCTGAGACTACTGGGGTATGCTGAGCTATGGCTGAAGCAGTGATGTTATCTTAAACAAATGTTTTCCTTCTTCCAAGAATGGGTAAAATTTATCACCAGCATGTATTCAGAGATAAAGCACTCAAAGGAAAGTGCTTATTATGTGCCTCACATTTTAATGTTTCTCCCCTTTGTGAACTCTCAGATGAGATTGCATTCATGAAGACTGAGTGAAGATTTTATCACACCATCACATCACTAAGTTTTCTCTCCCACATGAATAATCTGATGAAGTTGAAGACTTGAGGCCTGACTGAAGCACATACCGCACTCCCACATTTCCATGTTTTCTCTCTCCCATGTGGACCCTCTGATGCATGTCAAGATTCGAGCACCTATTGCAGCCCTTCCCACAGTCCTCACATTTGTATGCCTTTTCTACACTGTGAACTTTTTCTTGGACTTTAGAGAATGAATTCTGTACAGTATTCTTCCCATACTCCTCACATTTAAGAGGTGTTTCTCTGCTGTGGCGTCTCTGATGGGTCAGACGGGTTGAAGACCAGCTGAAACCCTTCCCACACTCATCACATTTGTATGGCTTTTCTCCGGTGTGCACTCTTTGATGAGAATGAAGCTGTGAATTCTGAGTAAATCTTTTCCCACACTCTTTACATTTGAATGGTTTTTCTCCACTGTGCAGTCTCTGATGTTTCAAAAGACACGAGGCCCAACCAAAACTCTTCCCACATTCTTTACAATTATATGGTCTCTCTCCTGTGTGGACCTTCTGGTGCATATCAAGATTAAACTTACTATTGTAGCCCTTTCCACACTTCTCACATTTGTATGGCTTTTCTCCAGTGTGGACTCGCTGATGGGAATGGAGATGTGAATTCTGAGTAAACCTCTTCCCACACTCCTCACATTGGAATGGTTTTTCTCCACTGTGGAGTCTCTCATGTTTCAAAAGACAAGGGGCCCGACTAAAGCTCTTCCCACATTCCTTACAATTATACAGTTTCTCTCCTGTATGGACCCGCTGGTGAAAGTCAAGATCCAACCTCCTTTTGTAGCCCTTCCCACACTCCACACATTTGTATGGTTTTTCTCCACTGTGGGATCTCTGATGGGAATAACGTTGTGAATTTGTGTAAAATCCTTTCCCACATTCTTCACATTTGAAGGGTTTTTCTCCACTGTGGACTCGCTGATGTTTCAAAAGACATGAGGCCCATCTGAAGCTCTTCCCACATTCTTTACAATTATATGGCTTCTCTCCCGTGTGGACCATATGATGCGTATAAAGATCTCGCCTACAAATAAAGCCTTTTCCACACTCCTCACATTTGTATGGCTTCTCTCCTGTGTGGACCATGTGATGACTATTAAGTGCTGATCTCTGACGAAAGCTCTTACCACACAAATCGCATTGGAAAGGTTTTTCTCCCGTGTGAACCATGGAGTGCCTATTAAGTCTTGATCTACCACAGAAGCTCTTATCACATATATCACATTTGAATGGCTTCTCCCCAGTATGGATTCTCTGATGTTCTTGAAGCTGGGAATCATGAATGAAGGCCTTCCCACATTCCTCACAATTATAAGGTTTCTCTCCTGTGTGCAATTTGCAATGCACATTAAGTGCTGATCTACGACTGAAGCCTTTCCCACATTCCACACATTTGAATGGTTTCTCTCCAGTGTGTAGTCTCTGATGAGTTTGCAGATGTAAGCTCTGACTGAATTCCTTACCACACACATCACACTTATAGCATTTGTCTCCCATGTGAACTCTCTGATGAATACGAAGGGCTGAGATGTAACAGAAGCTTTTTCCACACTCGTCACATGTATGAGACTTCTCTCCTGAGTGTAATTGTTGATGAAAATCAAAGATGGAGAGATCATTGAAGGACTGTTTATATCCATTGCCCTGGGAAGATTTCTGTCTTATGTTAATTACAGATAGTCCTGCCTCAGTCTGGCAGGGTAAATCACTTTGTTTGGAGAACTGAGAGCTATGTATTACCGAGGCTTGAGACCTGGTTAAATCACTTACAATTTTTTCCCAGATTTGCTGGCAGGACCACTCTTGATGTGTTCCTGCTTCTGAAACAGGCTTCATCTCAGTTTGGATCTTGCCTCCTATCAGAATACAGAATTAAGAGATGAGGACAAGTGAAGCCTTTGTTCAGTGTTATCAAGATTTCACTTAGGCCATGGCATGAAACTTTCATGAATATAGACAACATTCAGTTTGTATTTTTCAAGTGTACCATAATCTCTGGTTTGGATGAGGCCAATTTAGAACCAACCCAAGTGTCATATGTAAAATACTTGGTAGAAATAAAAGACTTGGGCTGGGCACAGTGGCTCATGCCTGTAATCCCAGCACTTTGGGAGGCTGAGGCGGGTAGATCACGAGGTCAAGAGATCGAGACCATCCTGGTCAACATGGTGAAACCCCGTCTCTACTAAAAATACAAAAAATTAGCTGGGCATAGTGGCGCGTGCCTATAATCCCAGCTACTCAGGAGGCTGAGGCAGAATTGCCTGAACCCAGGAGGCAGAGGTTGCGGTGAGCCAAGATCGTGCCATTGTACTCCAGCCTGGATAAACAAGAGCAAAACTCCGTCTCAAAAAAAAGGAGATAAAAGACTTACAAAAAAACAGTAGATGTTGGCATGGATGTGATGAAAGGGAACACTTATACATTGCTGGTGTGAATGTAAATTAGTACCACCTCTATAAAAAAGAGTATGGAAATTCCCTAAAGAACTAAAAGTGGATCTACAGTTTGATCCAGCAATCCCACTACTTTCTACCCAAAGGAAAATAAGTCATTACATCAAAAAGACACCTGCACACATATATTTATTACAGCACAATTTACAATTTCAAAGATATGGAACCAACCTAAGTGCCCATCAACCAACTAGTGGCTAAAGAAAATGTGGTATACATACACCATGGAATACTATTCAGCCATAAAAAAAGAACGAAATAATGTCTTTTGCAGCAATTTGAATGGAGTTGGAGGCCATTATTCTAAGTAAAGTAACTCAGGAATGGAAAACCAAATACTGTGTTTCCACTTATAAGTGAAAGCTAAGCTATGGGTATGCCAAGGCATACAGAGTGATATATATGGAAACTCAAAAGGAGGAGAGTAGAAGGTGGGGAAAGGGATAAAAAGCTACACACTCAGGTAATGGGTGTACGAAAGTCTCAGAATTCACCATTACACAATTCATGCATGTAACCAAAAACTACCAAACCCCAAAAGCTACTGAAATTAAATAAATGTTTTTAATAAAATAAAAAGTCTTAATAAAATTAATATAATACAAATATTATACCTGCTACTCTTCCTAGTGAATTTCCTAATCAGCCGAAAATCTTGCATGGCAAATTATGAAACTAATAAATTATGTATATAATAAAATATAAATCAAAACCAACTTTATAGAAAAATAACATAATAAATACTTGGTACATTTGTGTTTATATTGTGTATCTTTACAAAGTAAAGAAATTAACCTCATTCAAAATGAGGTCTGGATGCTGTCCTCAGGATCTGAGAGGTAATCTCTAGGAGTTTGAAGTGTCATGCCTGAGGAGAGTGTCTTTGTTTGTTTGCGGGTAAAACTAGGTCTCTGGATAGTGAAACAATATAATTTAGGGTTGTGGCTGGCCACCCCTTTGGGGGTTGGTGCTCCCCATGTCACAAAGAGCAATGAGATTTAAGGTGGGGCTTTAGGTTACATGGAATCAGTGGCCCAGGAGACTGATTAGCCACATGGGAATCAAACAACAAATAATGGCTATCTAATAGAGCCTCACAAATTATTTGTAAAACCAGGGCTCAGGTTGGCCGTATTCTCTACAGCACACCTTAATTTAGGAATGTAACACATCCTACTCTACCAGGAGGATACAATACAAGATCCTCATTTGGTACGTCCCAGAACGGTTTCTTATTTTCTTTTTCTTAGTAAAATGTAATGTGCATCTCTACCCTGTTAACATCCATAACTTTTACTATAAAAGCATTCAGTGAGTTCTGCTTGTCTTTCTAGGTAATTACTGAATGTGAAGGTAGTTTTGGGAAATGCCCACATTTGCAGTTGGTGTGACGTGAGAATGATCTTCTGTAAACTCTTGCTCTAAACTGTGTAGTCACTTAAACTCTTCACGATAATATCAAAGGCTTAGGAGTGTTTTATCTACATATTCATAATAATCCTACACAAAAATTTTGTATCATGTGTATCTTTAATTTTATTTCTCTGTGTAGATATGAAGAATCGTTTGGTTACCTGAAATAGGTAAGAAACAGACAACTGCAGTTTTGAGGGGAATTGGAAAGGTAGGACCTGACGGGGTATGCAAAGGGTGATGTTCCTGATGAGACACTGAAAGGTGGTGAGAACACCTGGGATAAAAAGAATGCCTGAGGGGTCATGCTCTGGTTCCGTGTGGGGATATTAGACGCTCATTTAAAAATAAAATAAAATAAGGCTGGGCGCGGTGGCTCACGCCTGTAATCCCAGCACTTTGGGAGGCCGAGGCTGGTGGATCACGAGGTCTAGAGATTGAGACCATCCTGGTCAACAAGGTGAAACCTCGTCTCTACTAAAAATACAAAAATTAGCTGGGCATGGTGGCGTGTGCCTGTAGTCCCTACTACTCGGGAGGCTGAGGCAGGAGAATTGCTTGAACCCAGAAGGCGGAGGTTGCGGTGAGCCGAGATCACGCCTTTGCACTCCAGCCTGGGTAACAAGAGGGAAACTGCCTCTCGAACAAACAAAAAAAAAGGGCTGGGCGCGGTGGCTCAAGCCTAATCCTAGCACTTTGGGAGGCCGAGGCTGGTAGATCACGAGGTCTAGAGATCGAGACCATCCTGGTCAACATGGTGAAACCCCGTCTCTACTAAAAATACAAAAAATTAGCTGGGCATGGTGGCACGTGCCTGTAATCCCGGCTACTCGGGAGGCTGAGGCAGGAGAATTGCCTGAACCCAGGAGGCGGAGGTTGCAGTGAGCTGAGATTCCAGCCTGGGTAACAAGAGCGAAACTCCGTCTCAAAAAAAAAAAAAAAAAAAAGGCAGAGGCTAGGCGCAGGGGCTCACATCTGTGATTCCATCACTTTGATAGCCCAAGTCTGGTGGATCGCTTGAACCCAGTAGTTGGAGACCAGCCTGGTTAACATGGTGAAACCCCATCTCTACTAAAAATACAAAAATTAGCCAGGCATGGTGGCACATACCTATAATCCCAGCTATGTGGGAGGCTGAGGTATGAGAACCACCTGAATGCAAAAGGCGGAGGTTGCAGTGAGCTGAGATCCTGCCACTGACCTCCAGCCTGGAAGACAGAGTGACACCCTGTCTCAAAAAAAAATAAAAAAGAAGAAAAAAGAGGGCATAAAATACATGATATAGATAAATACTCCTTTATACTGATTTCCAAATGGAAGAATATAGACAGCAAGTGAGCTATAAAATAAATTAAAGCCTTCTAATGAGTATTTAGAAAAAAAGAATTAGAAAAAATGATCACATCCTCATGACAAGCAGGAAAGGTATCATTTCATGAAATTCCTACTAAAGTAACCATAGACGTCTACATGCATGAAAAATGTTTGCCCTGGTTATGGTGAGAGATGTGTTTCCTCACTATGACTCACACTCATAAAAATACTGAAAACTTTGGTCAGGATATTACCAAAGCCTAAATTAAGTTAGTCAAAGGGAAAGTTAACTTTCCAAGGTTGAATCTTGGAAAACAGTAAGAGGTAGCGGTGTACCCAGTGGTACACATTGGAATATGGATATATTTAACACATCGTTACTTAAGGGGATTTTGGGAGAAGAGAGATTCTCTTTCAGGATGTTGTTATTTTGAGAGGGCGGTTTCCTGACTCTTTCCAAGTCATAAAGTTGAAAATAGAGCACTAGGTCTCTAAAAAATAAAGGAAAACTTATGTTGTAAAATTCTATATTCTTTTATGTTTTTAAACAATTAAATCCATATAAAATGAAGATGCACAAATATACGTATTTTTGAACAAAGATGACTAGAAATATAGGCAATGTTCAGCTGTGTGAATTGTGTTGATCTCTTCCTCATTCTTCCCCAACCAGAAGGAGAAACCTGGGTCAGTGATGTGCATGCAGACTTTGGAAATTCTATTTTGATACAATGGAATTATAAAGCGAGTGGTTTGGGATGGCTTCTCTCATTACTTAAAAACCGAAAAGAGCCGGGCGCAGTGGCTCACGCCTGTAATCCCAGCACTTTGGGAGGCCGAGGCGGGTGGATCACAAGGTCAAGAGATCGAGACCATCCTGGTCAACATGGTGAAACCCTATTTCTACTAAAAATACAAAAAAATTAGCTGGGCATGGTGGCGCGTGCCTGTAGTTTCAGCTGCTCAGGAGGCTGAGGGAGGAGAATTGCCTGAACCCAGGAGGCAGAGGTTGCGGTGAGCCAAAATCGTGCCATTGCACTCCAGCCTGGGTAACAAAAGCGAAACTCCATCTCAAAAAAAAAAAAAGAAACTTGAATAACTCAAGGAGATGCCAGACGGTTTTGAGGTGACAGAGTATTCCAATCAGTGAGATAAGCAAGTAAGGGCTGAGACAGAAGCTTTTGTAGAGAAAGAACAATGGTTCCTAAAAGACATCCATATCCAGTCCCCAGGACCTATGATAATGTTATACAGCAGGGGAATAGAGGTTGTAGATGCAATTAAGGCTGCTAGTCAGTTAACCAGATAATAGGAATATCATCCTGGATTATCCCGGAGTGATCAATATAATTACAAGGCACCCAAAGCATAAGAAGAGTGGCAGAGGGAGCGTGCCTGTGAAGATGGAGGAAGAGAAGCAAGAGCCAAGGAGTGAGGACAGTGCCTAGATACTGATAAACCAAAGTAAGGACTTCTCCCCAAGAGCATCCAGAAAAAATGAAGCCCTATAGATAACTCGATAATTGCCCAGTGAGATGTATCAGACTTCATCCCTAAAGAACACAAAAATAATGTTTGTTGCTCAATCCGCTAAGTTTGTGGTCACTGGGTACCAGCAAAAGGCAACACAGATTCCTTGGCAAGACAGAGAAACAGCAGGGAGAATAATGTGGCTGGTAAAGACAGAGCAAGAGGGAGAGGAGGAGATGTAGTCAGAGAGGTTGGGGGACGGGATGAAAAGCAGACCACAGGGTCTCCAAAAGTCAATTAATGAGGTTATAGGGAGAGCAAGGTGGCTCATGCCTGTAATCCCAGCACTGAGGGAGGCTAAGGCAGGTGGATCACAAGGTCAGCAGTTCGAGACCAGCCTGGGCAATATGGTGAAACCCCATCTGTACTAAAAATACAAAAACACTAGCAGGGCATGGTGGCTTGTGCCTGTAGTCCCAGCTACTCGGGAGGCTGAGGCAAGAGAATTGCTTGAACCCAGGAGGCAGAGGTTGCAGTGAGCTGAGATTGCACCACTGCACTCTAGCCTGGGCAACAGAGGGAGACTCCGTCTCAAAAAAAAAAAAAGAAAAGAAAAGAAAAAGAGGTTGTAACTTTAATGAAAATAAGCCAAAAAGGCTTTTGAGCTGAGGAATAGCAATCTGACTTACATTTCCTAAGGATCACTTTGGCTGCTATGAGAAGAGATGCCAGGGTGGGAAGGCAGGCAGCAGGGCCACCGAGTGTAAGATGGTTGTCAATAGTCCAAGAAAGAGGTTTGGCCATTTAGGGCAGGGCAATGGACTTGAGCATGGACAGAAGTAAAAAAGATGGAAGAGACCTACAGGGATTCATACTTGCTTGATTCTTACCTGAATTCCCTTCTCTCTGGGTTGCTGTCTTCATCATCCAAACCTTTTCTTCCCTTAGGAACTGGAAAGTATCCCTGTCGAATGCTTGCTGTCCTGTGAACATGCAAAGTCATGTGCTTAATTCCAGCACATTCTAGGTCACACCAAGGTCAAATTTACTAGAAATTTAGGTTCTCACTGCACATTCAAACTTGAACCCTAGGTTCAAGTTACTAATTAACACTTGAAACCTTTTTCTTTTTAAAACGGGGTTTCACCATGTTGGTCAGGCTGGTCTTGAACTCCCAACCTCAGCTGATCTGCCCGCCTTGGCCTCCAAAGTGCTTGGATTACAGACGTGAACCACCACGCCCGGCAACACTTGAAACTTTGTACCCTAGCATATGAAGTCACTCCTGAGGCCTGACGTTCCATTACAGAGGGTGCCTGTGCTCACCCACTGACAGCAGGTTCCTGAAATTCTCCAGCATCACGTCTCGGTACAGCTTCCTCTGGGCAGGGTCCAGTAGCCCCAGCTCCTCCTCAGTGAAAACCACAGCCACGTCCTTGAAGGTCACTGCCTCCTACAGCATCAAACATATGCAACCTCAGACTCATAACCAGTGATTCCTGGAAGAGGGAGGGGTGGCACTGATAGAGAGAGGGGAGGGGTGGGAAGTTGTTTTGGATCTTGAGAGACACAGGCCGACTCACAGATTTCCTACTCATTCTGTCCGTATCCTGACAATGACTGATTTACCTGAGTTCCACCGAAAATGAAATGATGAAAAAGACCTGTATTTTTACTTCGTGCAGTAATTGAGTCTCCTTGTAAGTAACCCTCTAGGACTCTAAATGCGGCATCCTGGGCTCCACACATATATGTTTTGATAAATCTTCACAGTCACCTTGGCAACATTTAGCAATTCAGTCCTGATTTGTTTGATGATGCCCATTGTCTCCCTCTCTCAAACTCCAACCCTGGATGTTACTGTTTTTCTTTAACATCTGCTTTTTTTCTGTGTAAGAATAAAAAAGAGAAAATAAAAACATTTGCCAAACTGACAACCTTATGGTGACATGTGTGAGTAGTTATGCAGTGAGTCCTCTGTACTCTCAAGGCAAAAACTACACACATTACTTGCAACATTGAATGTCACGATCTGCAGCCAGCGTGCCTCAGAGTGCATGCGTAAGACTCTGTCCCTTCCCAGTCATGTGACCTTGGACAAGTTGGTGTGAATGCATTACTTTCCTCTCTGTATAATGACTGTCTCAGGATACAGTTTTTATCTTTTTTTTTTTTTTTTGAGATGGAGTTTCGCTCTTGTTACCCAGGCTGGACTGCAATGGCGTGATCTCGGCTCACCGCAACCTCCGCCTCCTGGGTTCAAGCAATTCTCCTGCCTCAGCCTCCCAAGTAGCTGGGACTACAGGCACACGCCACCATGCCCAGCTAATTTTTGTATTTTTAGTAGAGACGGGGTTTCACCATGTTGAGCAGGATGGTCTCGATCTCTTGACCTCGTGATCCACCCGCCTCGGCCTCCCAAAGTGCTGGGATTATAGGCCTGAGCCACTGCGCCCGGCCAGGATACGGTTTTTAAAGAATTAAATAGTGGAATATACATATGCTATTGGGGAAACATGTGTAGCATAGACTAAATACTTAACATTAGCTGTTTTTATTTTTGTCAATTATTGTTAGTGACTTTATCTCATATCTGCATGGAACTGATCTATTGTTATTCTAAATAAGGAACATTTAATTTTATGTTATCCATGATTACCAATCCAATAAAGAACATCATTTCAGATAGATCTTACTCTCCTATTTAAATTTTAAATAATAAAATGTCAAAAAATAAGAATTAAAAATTGTGATATGTGTCACATTTTCTCAATTTTTTTGAACTCTAAAATTTTTCAAGGGGATACATTATTCTGATTTTTCTTAATATAGCCAAAAGCAGTTTATCAATTTTCCCATTATTCTGGTACTCTGATCAGAAAGAAATTGTTTTTTGGTTTTTTGGTCTTGTTTTTTTGTAGAGATAGCATCTTGCTATGTTTACCAGGATGATCTTGAGCTCCTGGTTTCAAACAATCCTCCTTCCTAAGCTTCCTAAAGCGCCAAGATTACAGGTGTGAGTCACAGGCCTGGCCACGATTTTGAAGAGAGGCCTTCTGCCATGATTGTGAGTTTCCCAAGGTCTCCCCAGCCATGCAGAACTCCAAGACCATCCTCAAGGAGTTTAATGAATGTGGTACCACAAGCGAAATGTACGTCCACATTGAAAGGGTCTTACTCTGTTGCTCAGGACGGAGTGCAGTGGCCCCATCTCGGCTCACTATAACCACCGCCTCTCCGGTTCAAGTGATTCTCCAGCCTCAACCTACCAATTAGCTGGGATTACAGGCACACGCAACCACACCTGGCTAATTTTTGTATTATATATAATACAAAAAGATGTATATATAATATAAAAGATGTATAAATGAATATCATCTTTTCAAATATTTATTGCCATCTGTTTTTCTCCTTGTATACATTCCTGGTAATCTCCTTTATTCATATTTCTTTGGATTTTCTTCTCTATTCTGTGTATAAGATTCTTATTTTGGATTACACCTTTTTTTAGACATCCAAAGGGTAAATATTTTCACCTTAGACTATTACATTTTCTGGTAACACTGTGTAAGCCATCTTTTCCCTTAATGAATTTTAAAATTTTCTGTAATGACTATGGTAATTGCTGTTTTTCGGTACCTGAAGTGCTGGGGGCCAAGGAATAGGTACCATGACAAGAAGAGAAGGCATCCCCCTCCCAAGGTAGGGCCAGGGAGGAGCAGTGCCACCTGTGGATGTCACCACTCCAGACACCCACACCACAGGGCACAGGGCCCTCAATGGAGAATTCTGTCTGTCTTTCTTTTTCTCTCTCTTTCAACTGAGTAAAATGGCTAATATTCTTGCCTCTCAGTCTCCTGTCTGAACATGAGCAGGTTTCTCATATTTCCTGTGTTTAAGAGGAAGATAAGAACTGCCTCATTCAGCTGTCCTGAGGAGTAAATGAAGAAACAAAACACAAAGACTGGCAAATCCAGGATCATGCACAAAAGGTTTACGTTAAATATCACTGCGGTCAAATTCCTTAACATATAAAGGAATAAAGAAAGACCACTAAATAAAAGGCACAGAAGGCACAACCCAGACATGGGGGAAAGAAAATCTGGCTCTTCCTGTGTGGAAACTTCCAGCAATCCTTGTGTGACGCCAGTTACAGCTTGCCGTAATGTGCCACATATGGGTACTCTACTAAAGAGCCAACGTGGCACGCATTTAAAGTTCCCTTTCAAAACTGAGTTCCCAGTGTCTGGTAATATCAACTAATGAAAAAGGAGCATCGATTTAAATGGGAATATGATGCAACCATTAAAAACGAACATTATATAATATTAAATACAAAGAGTGCAATTTAAATTAGATTCATATCACCAATACAAATACAGTTATGAATGTACATAAGGAAGAGTATGGTATTAGAGGATAAAAATAGCTAATGTGTGAGCAGAGAAGTAGTAAAATAAAAGAATTATCCATTCCAACGATCTTGTCTACTCCATAGACTAAATGATACAAGAAAACAAGAACTAAAAACAAATGTAAAATCCACTCAAAAGTAACAAAGGAAGCACCTGGTACACAAGAGATCCTCAAATGCCTGCTTTTCTCCTCGAATCTTCCCAAGACAGAGAAAAACTTGTGACAGTCTGAGGACTGAGATGGAATTTTTTTTTTTTTTTGAGATGGAGTTTTGCTCGTTACCCAGGATGGAGTACAATGGTGCAATCTCGTCTCACGCAATCTCCGCCTCCTGGGCTCAGGCAATTCTCCTGCCTCAGCCTCCTGAGTAGCTGGGATTACAGGCATGCGCCACCATGCCCAGCTAATTTTTGTATTTTTAGTAGAGACGGGGGTTTCACCATGTTGACCAGGATGGTCTCAATCTCTTGACCTCGTGATCCACCCGCCTCGGCCTCCCAAAGTGCTGGGATTACAGGCGTGAGCCATCGCGCCCGGCCCTTCCGGATGGAATTTTAAGAGTAAGAGAAGCAAATCTACTCACCGTGAACGTGGTCATTTTCCCTCTTACTTCCGGGAACTTGTGTAGTACCGAGTGATGCAATTCCTGGGAAAGCAGAATTGTACCTGCAAAGTGCCAGAAAAGGCAGAAAAAGAGACATGAAAAGGCAGCCAGGGGTGCCACCCACCAACAGGGATGTGTGTTGTGAACGGGCACATGAATGTTCACAGCAGCATTAACCATAAAAACCCAAAACAGCACAACCAAAATACCCTCCTATGTGTAAACGGGTAGACAAATCATGGTCTATCCAAACAATAATGGAATCTTATTTGGAAATTTAAAGAAAATGAAGTACTGACTCATGCTACAACATATGTGAACCTTTGAAACATTATGCTAAATGAAAGAGGCCAGTTACAAAGGACGACATATTGCAGGCTTCCATTTCTGTAAAAAGTCCAGGTAGGAAAATGCACATAGAGAGAAAACTGATTAGTAATTGCTTCAGAGCTGAGTGAGAATGAGGTCTAACCATGAGTAGGCATGAGGAGACCCGTATAGGAATGAAATGATCACTGAATTGTGGTGATAGTTACTCCCTTCAGCAAACTTTCTAATGATCACTGGATGTACACCTGAAATAAGTTAAGTTCTATGATACAATAGGTGGGAAAAAATAATTGTTAACATATACGTCATTTAACTTAACAAGAATCAATTCTGAGTCCATATTGACAGAATATTTGCAATTGAACAAATCCAAGAATAAATAGAGAAAAAGGTCATTTTACAGCTGAATGCCCACTAGTAATGTTATCTATTCCTAAGAAACATTATTATTTTCCAAAAAAAATCTAACTCTCTTTATAGTAGAGAGATCCGAAAGACAGCATCTTGGCCAAGTGGAAAAGGTTGAGATCGCCAATAAAAGAGACAAACTGACATCGCTTGGCCCCTGTTATACTGCAATGAAAAGGACATCTCACCGCTTCTGTGGTAACCCTACCAACAAAGCATAATCTGAACATGCATATGAATTATATCAGACACAACTCCAAATGAATGCCTTTCTCCAAAATAACTTGCCTATACTCTTCAAAAATATCAAGCATAGAAAGACAAAGGGTGTAGAATCCTCCAGATTAAAGATTATGGAAATGGGACAACTAAAGGCAATGCATAAAATTAGATTGTGGACAGAGGTGGTGGTGGCGGGTGGGGAGTGGACACTTGTAAGAACCTTAAGTGAAAAACAGAACAAATTTAAATATAGAACTGCAGAGTACATAACATGATGTTGGGTAATTTGTTATCTAGCACTATCTTTTTTTTTTTTTAAGACAGTCTCACTCTGTTGCCAGGCACCAGGCTAGAGTGCAGTGGTGTGATCTTGGCTCACTGCAACCTCTGCCTCTCTGGTTCAAGCAATTCTCCTGCCTCAGCCTCCCAAGTAGCTGGGGCTACAGGCATGCACAACCATGCCCAGCTAATTTTTGTATTTTTTAGCAGAGACGGGGTTTCACCATGTTGGCCAGGATGGTCTCAATCTCTTGACCTTGTGATCTGCCTGCCTCAGCCTCCCAAAGTGCTGGGATTATAGGCATGAGCCCGGCCCTATCTAGCACTATCTAACAGATAATACAATTAACTATTAGCAGTCCTCTAATAGATATCTAATATTTAATAAATATCTTTGTCTGGTATATAATCTAATATTATCTAATATCTTATGTGAAACCATACGCTAGCCCTTCCTAAACTCTTAGGAAGGCAGCCTCTGGCATGTGAGCTCTCTTGCTGCGGAAAGGTATAATCAGCTGTCTCTGGTTACAGGTATGTTTCTAGTGATATTTGGCTGATGGTCATCAACAAAGCAAAGAGGAAAAATATAAACACTTGGCAAATGTGGGTAAAGAGTAAATAAGAATTTCTTAGGCTATTTTTGCAACTTTTCTATAGGCTTCAAATGACATGAAAATAAAAAGTTTTATAATTTCAGGAAAAAGTCATAGGAAAAATAACAACGAGATTAATGAGTATGATCGAACATGGTAATTGACTAGTTTATTCTCTTTGTATTTGGAAATTTCCATAAACACATAAGAGGGAAACATTAAGAAAGAAATATAAAATTTTTGTTAAAATGTTCATAAACATATAAATATACAAAAAGAAATACATTCGAAGTGTAACAGTTGCTGTTTTTACATCATGGGTTCGTGGGTAATAAAAACATTTTGTTCCTTTTTTTTTTTTTTGAGAGAGTCTTGCACTGTCACCCAGGCTGGAGTGCAATGGCACAATCTCTACTCACTGCAACCTTCGCCTCCCAGGTTCAATCGATTCTCCTGCCTCAGTCTCCCGAGTATCTGGGATTACAGGCACCTGCCACCACTCCTGGCTAATTTCTTATTTTTATTTTTTAGTAGAGACGGGGGTCTTACCATATTGGCCAGGCTAGTCTCGAACTCCTGACCTTGTGATCCGCCCACCTAGGCTTTCCCCCCTGAGTCCAGCTAGTTCCTCGGCCTCAGTGAGAACGTATCCAAGAGAAGATCAAATCAGGCTTTGACCCAGACTGCTTAGGTTCCAACCACAGCTCCACCTCTTACTAGTCGGGTGCCTATGCGCCCTGTGTCTCACTTTCGTTTTTAAAATAGAAAAAAAGTGATACTTCTCCACAGAGCCACGGTGTGGCATAAGCCCTTAGAATGAAGTTATTAATTAAGACTTAATATCAACACTCATGCTCCAGGACACATCCTATACACTGTCGGTTGGGGTGAGGATCTCTGACAACGAAAAGAGCCAAGGACCACTCACGCAGAGCTTTGCCCTCAGAAGCCAAGAAGTCCCTCCCTGCAGCTCTTTTGGAAAGGTCGGTTTGGGGAAGGAGAAGGCTGTGAAACACCCTGACCGCGTCAAGTAGCTGGGACTCTGCAGGAGCCTGCCATAAAAGTTAAATTATCCTGTCCCTTCCTGGAAGCGAACGCAACCCTCGCTCTCCTAAAAAGAGGTCAGAAGGCGTCCGGGATCATCCATGGTCCTGCAGGAATCAGGGAGAAGGGCCGGTGTCCCTGCAGCTGGAGCTCTGACCCCACCAGGGGATCTGACAGGCTTCGTGAGAAATTAACAAGAGATCACTAGTCACCAAGTGACAGGGACTGCTTTAAGGCTCTCATTTGTGTTACCTCTTCCAGTTCCCCAAACGATTCTATCAGGATGGTCCTAAAATGTCCATTTTAAAGAACAGTAACGGCAGACCCAAGGAGATTAACACCCCAACGTTATATCGGGAGTAAGTGGTAGCGCGCGTGGGGTGCAGGGAGGCGGAGTGGGCGAGCTCAGAGCCCCGGAAACACTGAAACCAGGTGAGACGCGACCCGACCAATGCACGCGGGACGCGAGGACAGCCCCAAGCCCAAGAAGGGCTTGACTAAAACGAAAACAGCGGCCCTTGCCCCTCCAAACCTCTGCTCTCCGACGAGACTCCTTTACCCTAATTCGATCACCAGTTCGTTGAGAATCCAATGCGTAGGTCCCGGAAATTCAGAAGGGTCCTCAAGGCGCGGAACTGACCCAAACTATTGAGGACAAACTGCAGCAACCTCAGTCCCCGAGCGGAAGTGCCCGCGACGCCTCTGAGTGTTTGGACTCCACTTCCCAGAATGCCCCGGGATCCGCCTGCTATAGCCAAACTGACCCCTACGCCACCGAGCGTCTGGACTACACTTCCCAGAACTCCCCTGGATCTGCCTGCCAGAGCCAAACTGACCGCGACTGTACGGAGCGTCTGGACTGTATTCCAGCAGCATCACCCTCCAGGGCAAGCGTTCCCAACTACTGGAAAGCCCTTCGCTGCTCTTCCCACGGGGAACGGATCCCATATCCCCGAGCGCCTGTTGGGAAATGTGGACTTCTACCCTGAGAGTCGTCCTTCCTTCTTCCCTGTACCCAAGAGAAAATATCGTATAGACAGGAATTCCTGCAGTCTAAACGCCTCTAGTGATGACAGGAGTGTACTGGAAAGGGAACAAGGGAGATGATACAATTTCAAATTATTAAGTTTTGCCAGTGGGAAGAAATGGCATGTAGTTTTTTTTTGTTGTTTTTGAGACGGAGTTTCGCTGTTGTTACCCAGACTGGAGTGCAATAGCACAATCTCGGCTCACCACAACCTCCGCCTCCTGGGTTCAAGCAATTCTCCTGCCTCATCCTTCCGAGTAACTGGGACTACAGGCGCGCACCACCATGCCCAGCTAATTTTTGTATTTTTAGTAGAGACGGGTTTCACCTTGTTGACCAGGATGGTCTCGATCTCTTGACCTCGTGATCCACCCACCTCAGCCTCCCAAAGTGCTGGGATTATAAGCGTGAGCCACCGCGCCCGGCTGTCATGTAGTTTTATATCTCTTGTAAACAAAATGGAATATTCTTGTATATTTTCAGATGTCATTACATTTTCTGTAAATTGTCCAGATGTTTTGCCCACTTTCCTGTTTTTTGGTCTTTATCCTTCACTTTTCAAGCACAGTTTTAACATTCATGATATTAACATTTTATCTCGCAAATATTTTCTCAACAAAAACGTTCGGTGTTTTTTCTTTCTTATCTATGCAAAATATTTTAACGTATTTTATTTAAAACATCTCTATTGAAGTGTAATGCACAAAGCGTAAAATTCACCATTTTAGGATATCTAGTACAAATAAAGTCAGGAAACATTTTCATCACCCCACAGACCCCATACCCACTAAGCAGTCACAGCAACTGCACCATTTTTACATTCCCACCTTCAGTGTGTGAGGGTAGTAATTTCTCCATATCCTTTCCAATACTTATTTTATATCTATGTATAAAGTGTGTGTGTGTGTGTGTGTAAATTGGAAACGGGATCTCCCTATGTTGTGCAGGCAGGATTGCAGTGGCTATTCACAGACAACATCCCATTACTGATCAGCATGGGAGTTTTGACCTGCTCTGTTTCCACCTTGGGCCAGTTTACCCCTCCTGAGGCAACATGGTGGTCCCATGCTCCTGGGAGCTCACCATGATGTCGACTTAGTGTGGACACCCGGCAGGCATAACTCGATACACCTCAGAACTCCTGGGCTCAAGTGAT